ATTTCAAGTAGTAGAAGATATGTTTATGCGCACGTATGTTAGTTCTCGAGTGAAAAGAAAGAGCTTTAAATTTATAGAAAAAGTGAAGTCCGGATGATTTTGTTGATTTCCGACGGCCATATTGGTGCACCAAAACGGTACACCAATATGGCGTCCCATGCATACAAAGCTCTTCAAACGTGCGTGAAACGTTTCGGCAAATAACTCAGAAAGTGTGGGCCACAAAGACGTGGAAAAATTGTTTATGTATTACTCTTTTATATCATTTCGTTTTATTGGCTTCTTCCACTGGACGGTTTCCAATTTATTTTTTTTTTGTCGCGTGACAGTGAAAATGATGGATATAAGTGCAGAAAAACAACTTCGAGTAGAAGCTTGAACTAGAAATGTAATAAAACTTAAAGCATAACGCATAGTAATTTCCATCAACGATTTATCTGCTACTTAAACGTTCAAGATCATTTACGTTATCCTTAACTTGCACAGGCGGAGGAGTTATGGGTTAAGAACTGCCTTTACAGATTAGGGTTAAGCACTGTTTCGAAACTAGTTAGGTTCTGTTTTGTGGTTGGAGTTGATGCTATATGTAATTAAATTATTTCATCTCCATCCAGCTAAAATCCTCAGTGGTCTAGTGGTTAGCATAGTATATTGGACCACCTGGGTTGTGTGTTCGCATCCTACTGTCTTTCATATTAATATATTTTTTTTTCTTTCAAATTGAAGAGATTTGCAGTTTCATGAACATCTCCTGCTTGAAATATCATCTAAGTGTGATGTACATTTCATAAGGGGAGAAAGGGGCTACGGCCGATGGGATCTAATGCTGACCCAATAAATTGGGACTGATTTTTATGCTAATTTCATCTTTGTCGTTATCCAAAACCCATTGGTGCTTTTCGATCCGGCGGCTTTCCCTTGTCACTTCGTGTACCATTATAAACCCGCAGTTTTATACAGGCCAAAGTTGCAATTTTTTGCGAGTTGAAAACGAGACGATGGCGGAAAAACGGCCTCACCCTTCTCGGGGATTTTACAAGGGCAGTAGCGAGTTCCCTGCGATTTCCTGTAAACGCATTTGCGAAAGAAAACCTGAACTTATTGGTACATTCGAAGCAGAGCGCATCGTTGCAAAGAGGTTTGTTAAAGGGAAGCCTCAGTACATGTCAATCAAACAAAGACTTCATTTAACTTCGAATTTGTTAATAGCAAAATTGCTCAATAAACATCTCCGAAGAAAATAAATCTATCAATTAATTAATAGGTGAAATAAATAAATAAAATAAATAAATAGATACATAAATATTAAATAACATAAAAATTAAATGTTATAGATAAAAATATACAACTATGCACAGGTATTTTCAGAATTTAACATTGGTCACAAAAAGAACAGCATTCATTATCCAGTTGAACAGTTTTTAATGCAACTTTGAAGGCAGCAAGAGAAGTAGACACACGGACATTATCCTGCAATAAGTTCCATAGTTTGCTGGCATGATATCGAAATGAATCAAGACCATAATTTGAAAACGGTTTAAAAATGGTATAATAGTTTAACTACTGTGCGAGCGAAAACACTTGGAAACCGAAAGATCATCTGCCGCTAGACTTGGTTGAGGGCTTCGAGAACGCGTAGAAGAGGATCAGTCTCGAATTTGAGAGAGGGATTAACTGAAGGTCCCTCTTCCATACGAAGAGTCGATTAAAATCAGACACGACGTGGTGAGGTTCCTGTTTCTAAGGCTACCATGCGATATCAGAGCAACGCCAGTCAGTATAGATGATCAAGACCTTCACGGCGCTGGCCTTTCCACCTATGTGGAACGCACGATCAACGCCAACGGCAGCCGATGCCGTGTAGTCCAGTTGACTTTCCGTCGATCTATTACTGTCGAATTCACCTGCGTTTTACCAAGAGGAGAAGAAAGTATCCCGTCCGATGGAGTGTCTACGCATTGTATTTCTAAAGAGCTTCCATGCTCTTTCTCAGTAAGTACATCTTAGTCCCTGGAGAGACATAAACGGTTTCTTTAGAAGCCATTAATTCCAATAAAGTCAATACCATAATTCAGTTCTATGCTCTTCAGTAATGCGCTCCTCTTGTAAAACATAAGGAGGGGGACATGGGGGTTTACGGTATTGCGGTATTGGGCTTTTTTTCATGCGGTATTTCGGTAATTTTAATTTTAACGTGCGGTATTGCGGTATCATCTAGCTCTGCGGTATGCGGGTTTTCATCTTTTTGGCTGACGGTATTCGGTAAAATAAGATTGTTCACGGTATTACGGTACCGTTTATTTGCGCTTTCTTTTCGATACAATACGCAAAACAAAACACAGTAGGACATAAAGGTCAATAAAAGTTAATATTTAGAAGTCTTGAGACATAACGGTAAATGATTAAACCATTGTGGGTCATTTTGTGACAGTTAATGGTCGATAATACACAATGTGATTGTTGTTGCATCCAATGACAATGAGTCACCTCAAGTTGCCTTACCAGGCTTTTCGATCTGTGTACGTGTGCCAGTCTGCTACTCAGCCGTTTTTAGTGCCGTCACGCAACGCTCCTCCCCACTGGGGAGACAGTCGAGATAGTTGACCCCTGAGATACTGACATACTAGACTATAGACTCATCCAAACTCGCACTAGACGTGCGTGGAAAGGGTTTTGGTTGGTTTGTTTTTTGTTTTTTTTTTCGCGCTTTCAAGAGTTATTTTTATTGGAGTTAGTTAGCTGTTGGGTAAACCAACCAAAAGGTTCTTTTAAGTGAAAATTTGCCAAAAATTTGCCAACTACCAAAATATTAAAAAAACATGGACATCTGGTGCATAAATGCCTGAGATAATTAAACGCGCTAGATGGAAGCACCCATAAGTATGCGGAACCGATTATGAATGTGATTAAAATATGCGGTATCGGTATTTAGACGATTTTCGACGCGGTATTTCGGTATTTGCCATTTTTTCTTACGGTATTGCGGTATTGGGTACCCCCCAATGTCCCCCTCCATAAGCTAACTAAAAAAAGTAAGAAATACTACTAAACGGAATTCGCACAGACTTCAGCGAATAGAAAATGTTTTGCCAGCGTTCGCAAACCAAAAGGCATGTGCACTAACACGTGAGATAGCAAAAGATGACGGTTTTGAAAAATTTACTTGTTGGTTACGTTGTATTCGAGATTGATAAACGCTGCTGTAGAGTAGGTAAGAAAGTATGTCTTACTTCATGGCTGTAGTCAATTTGCTTTTTCGGAAGTTTATCTTTCAATCTTTAAGGAATTTGTTGGGGCTTCAGAATTCTCTCTTCTATTCATCGCTTTTTCGAAACAGAATGTAAGCTAGCTACAGGTTTTCTTCTGGAAATCATGGAAAGGCTTTTTCGTATATGACAGTCATTCAAAAATTTTTATCCCTCTAACCTTAGAAAGTTCAGATATTGTGCCGAAAACAGTCGTTGGGATCTCCATGAATCCTTTTGAGCGCGGTTAAAGGCTCAAATCTTACATTGGGGGCAATGGAAACACCCTGAAAAGCACTGAGGAGAGCGATAAGCTTAAGTTTAACATAAAAGTTTGGTTGTCTCCATTGTTATTTGCTCCTCACTCAAACCTGGTTCGATTTTTTTTTTTCAAATAAATTTTGAAGTTTGGTGGTTACTTATTCTTGCCTTCCATTAGTTGCCATAAATATCCAAGCCCCCTAAACCTTTCAAAGGTGTTGGTGTATTAATTTTATAAGTTTCCTGGATTGAGCCTGGATACTCCGAATCATGTTTACCTTTCCCGTTATGCACTATCCAAATCCCACATTGACAGTAAAAGTGATAACAGATACTGAATCTTTAATTTGCTACCTGCATCTCTTACTTACAACCACAAACAAGACTAAAATAACTTCCAAAACTTAGATCTTCTATATTTTATTCTATAGTTTATAATACTGTCAATCCCCTTTTGAGCCTTTCTTGCAAATATGCACTAATTTAACTCCACATACAGTCAAACCCGCTTTAATTATGGGCACCCGCTTAATATGGACATCTCTACTAGCAGTTTATCCCTGAGGAAAGGAAGTCTATACATTTTTGTGAAATCAAAACCAATTTTTCCCTGGGTGTATAGGGACATCAAGTTAATGGGAATACTTCCTAAGCCCCCTCAGCCTCAGTGTCCGTATCAATGGCCAGGGGTTTGACTGTACAACTTAGATGCTGTATGCTTTTCTTACGTCAACTATTGAAATCTTCACAAATTATTCTAACCTATTGATAATAGTAATAACATTTCATGTTACATCTCTTACATCTGAATACACACTAGACTAACTGCATATACTGGTAACTTTCATCCTCAATGCTTTTCTTAAGTCAATCCTTGAAAACTTTAAAAATAATTCTAATGATTTCATTTCTAGTAACAGAATATACTAATTACATCTGTTACTGTTACATGTAACTGGTAACTTAAATGCTCAATGTTTTTTTTTAAAGCAACCTTTGAAGTCTTAAAACATAATTCTTACAGTTACTGTTATTCTGATTTCACTTCTATTAACAGAATATACCTCTTGAATTTTTATCCCGTTACTCGTTGCTACGTACCCTGCGAGCAGTGGTTTCTCGTAGCCCAGAGAAACCACTGCTCGCAGGGTAGTTACTGCGTTACTCCGTTTAGTAACACTCCACAGACGATCCACTAACGTAAAGTGCTGTGTCAGCGGCGTGCACGTTTACTGAGCACTGATTACAACGTACAGCAAATTCAAACAAAATAAGGTCTAGTCAATTTTATTTAGCAGCATCTGTAATACATGAGCTATCATGTCATCCCCATCCGGATCGCGATTAGAGATGGGAGCTTATTTAATTCTGGTGCCCACGAACGGGGGCTTTTAAGAGGCTTGGGTTTCAATCTTAAGAGGTATTACAAAGGAATACGGTAGGCCAATGCTTTCTTTATTACATTCATTTCTCAAAAAAGGAAGCTTTGCTTACCTATGTTAGGTACCTCTCTTCAAAAAGCCCCTCGATAAATTGACGCACTTTGGAAGCTAACTCACAACACTTTGGTCGTGAAACAAACTCAAATAGATTGATGTCTTTTATGAAGTAATGGGGGCAGTTTTCGTCCTCCAAGTAGCCTTCCAGCCTTCTCAGAAAGTCAATCAGTCTCCTACTCAGCTGGTCAGAGCTCCATTGGTTTGGATTGGGGTGGGCCTCACACTCATACAACATGATGGTTTTTAGATGATATGATGTTAATTGATCCCAATTCATATCTTCCTTCAGCGTCTTCATTATTCGCAAAACTTGTTTGCGGCAAGAACTTGCTTCGCCATGACCCCCATGAATAAACAACTTCTTTTCAGCGGCTGAAAAGGACAAACGCCAGAAAAGCCCCTTTTCTGACTCAGGAATATTTAATCCTTTTGGTTGCTTTGTAACCAGGTAACAACCGTCTTCACAAATTTCTCGAACAAGGTCCTGATTGGGCCAACCTATGTAACGTGGATATAAAAGAAATGAAATTTTACTGTCTTCTTAAGTTATCAGACAAAGGGAGGCTCTGCAAAAGAGGTTCCTTGCCCATTTATTGTCTATAAGATATATTTACTAAGTTCATAATAGGATGTACGTCACGAAGAGATTTCTCGCATACCTTATTACAGTAAAAACCCGCAACTAAGAACCTACTTTGTAAGAACATGTTAGGCTGAAATTTGCCATTTACACCACCTCTACACAATTCGCAAAATTATGTATAAATATGAAAAATTTTAACGGGACTGTCATTTGATATTCAGCAGGTCGTTTGCTTGCTTGGAGTTAAAAAATTTCGACAATCTTTACCGTAAAGAACAAAAATTGCCCTTGTCTTCGAAACAGTGACTTGTTAAATTGAAGTACGAATGACGAATCAATGCAAAGAGTCGGTAGGTTTTCATTTAGAGCCGCTTTGTGGTTTCGGTTGTGATTTCGTTTATGCGAAGCATCGGTGATCCATTTTTGTAATTCGAACTTCCTGCCCTGATTTCCACCGTCAAGTATAATGATTCTGTTAGCTTTTTCTTCTTGTTTTCTTGCTTCTTTTTTCTTCGTTAAGGACCAAATAGCTTTTTTTCAATTAAAACAAATTGCTGTGGCTTTGAAGGGTCCCGGGTACGTGTATTTATTTCATTGCGTGACCCAGATCGAGTTTAATTATTTAATTATGGGGCTATACTTGCAACAGATTCGTTCAGTTTGAACGTGAAACATGAATAACTATTTAATAGTAAAGCAATTCTGTAACACACCGTAATTTTTAGGGAGTTATTATAACTCCAAAAATGGGGTAAAAATTTTAGGTACAGGATAACCCCTTTTTTGAGGTTATTTTAACTCTCTCCGAATTTGGGGTCATTTTTACTCCTGAAAAAGAGTTCTTTTTACTCCCAGTCTGGAGTTAAAATTACTCCGAAATGGGGTTACTTGTACTCCTTACATGGGTTGTTTTTACTCTTTTTGGAGTTAATTTAACTCTGAAAGTGGAGTAAAAATTTTAGGTACAGGATAACTCCTTTTTGGGGGTTATTTTAACTCCTCAATATCTGGGGACACTTTTACTCCTGAAAAAGAGTTCTTTAAACTCCTTTTTGGAGTTAAAGTAACTCCACGAAAAATAACTCCACTGTAAGGAGTTAAATTAGCCCCACTAGAGGAGTTATTATAACTCCCTGAAAATTACAGTGCATGTAGACATTTTCGGACGATATTTTTTTGTTTGCCAGTTGCAAATCGTGTTTTACTTTTTGCATGGACTAAAGTAAAGGAGTAGTGACATCGATCACTGGACGACATTAGCGGCTCGCTGATTCAGACGTCTCTGAGGAAGTTTCCGAGTCGAAGTTATGTCTGAACTTCAGGCTATCCCGCAACGAATTCTACGAAACGTTCAGGTTGTTCAAAGCTGGGTTAAGATAAGCCAGGGTTAGTGCGAGATTTGAATTCAGATTTGAAAGCTTAAAAAGCATTTCAGTTTTAATTCTTTTTGTCTACAAGTTGATGATTGAAAGCTCTAAAATCAACAGAGAGAATTATCTCAGAAAATGCTTTTGACTACAAGAAAAAGAAACCCGGGTTAAATTTAACCCCGGGTTAAGCGCTAATCGGCCTTCGAACAACTCGGCCCAGGACGGAAGCCCGCTAAACATGCTTAAACTAACGCAAGGTGCACTCGACTGGAAAACCGGACAGAATATTAGTGAACATGGAGACGATTACGTAGAAGAAAACAAACTGCGAGTTAAAAAGCTGAATTCTGGTGATTTAGGCTATATTCACACTATACCGGCTAACTTTTGTGCCGGCACGAAACCAAGCCGGATTGGGCTTCTGTTCTCACATAACAACGGTGATTTCGGCGCGATTTCTGTAACGGAGCGAAGCACGCATATCGGACAGGTGTTAATACTGTACCGGATACCTTTTCGTGCGGACACGAAAAACCATCCGCTATAGTTTGAACATAGCCTTAGAATCACGTTTTCGGCAATGTCAAACGTCAATTTGTATCAAGTGACCAAGCTTTGGTTTCACGGCTTTTTCATCCATAAGAATTATTTTGGACATTTTTTGTTTGCTCATTTCCTAATTTGAGGATTGTCAACCTGTAGTTGACGTTTGCCGTAAACGTGACTCCAAATTTCTATACTATAGCCTCCTAGCTACGAAGATATTTCACTCGTCACGCAATCCTGAGGGAGGATTGCATGACAAGCCTGAAGAACGTTTAACCCTACATGAACGTTTGGGCTGTTTGTGTTTTTCTCTTATCAAACTGTTTAGATGCCATTGTCGATAGGAGCAATGATCTGTATAATGAAATGTTCTTCTATTTTCATTTTGAAACACCTCTTGTTCTTTTTAAGTGTCACTAGATAAATGTAAGCCCTTGCTAAAAATTCTGCTACTTGCATAGCACCTCTTGGCCAAAATCGTGTTTGCCCTCACATTCTCATTCGTTTTATTTTTAATTTTTTTTCCTGTTTGGCATGTAATCCACCCAAGTGAACGCGTTAAATAATTAATAATTTCCGCGACCTAAACTCCTGTTATCAGTATCATGGAAACAGCAAAATGCTTGAGGTGGGGAAATTGCGTCTCTGAGTCTTGATCCCTAGAAATCTTTGATCTCGTTACGAAAGAAGGCATTTCTTTGTGTATAGTTTACCTCATGGCTTAGTAATGGTTTAACGCTTCTACAATCAAGGTAAAAAATGTTCCTTTCGTCTAACAAGCTGTTTCTTTGTGTTAATCACGTGATTTTCCCTCATTTAAGACTTTTACCATCTCTTTTGCTTTAATTTCCGTTATTCTAAGGCTTTCTTCGCGGGCAGGCAAGGTGAAGCGCATCCTATGTCCTGACTGGCTACCCGAGCAGGCAAGACAGGTACGTTCAAAAGCTGTTCAAAAACACTCACAGCACGTGTATTATCAAGTAACACTGCTGTTCCTGTTTTAAACATCACTTAACACAAGCGTCAATTTGGTATAATAAGATAGTAATTGTTTGCTAACGAGAATCCTCTTTTGGCATTAGCTATACCTGATGTCAGGCATTAGGAATGGGTAGGGTGCGACGAAGCCACCCGATAAGGGCCACGGAAGACCGTGGATACAAAGAAACAAGTTAAAACAAACAGAAACAAATATTTTTTTACAGTTTGTTCATTATCGTCTTCGTTCTCTTTAGGTTTTCTACACTTAATGTATTGTAGTATTTTAAACATAAAAACTACCGCAAGATTGCTAGCGGCTAAATTACGCCAGTGGAATTTCATCAACTGTTTCGGGATTCCTACTTTCAACTCTTACACGTATGTAGTATCAACGAGTTTAGGTCCGATTTTGGGCATTCTGGTTTCTACGCCACTGCATGCTTTTTAAAAAGGGCACCAAACCCAGTCTGTCCGAAACAACCAGTTCTCTCGGTGGACATGTCAAAAGTGGCTCGGATCTAATTGTACTACGGTTCCGTACCTTTTTTTGTGGTGGGAGAGGTGATTCTAAGATGTGACCATTGAAATGAACCAAAGACAAATTAAACTGCAATTTATTCGTGTATGTAAATCAAACTGTAGATTTCTAATAAACTGACTTCTCAAAAGCAGCCACTTTTCAGACTTTTGCTTCACAGTTTAGTTCACCTTGTTAACGAAATGTTCAACTGAATGCCACCGGTGAAATCAATTTCGCGAAAGCGAGCCAAGCGAATTTATAATCTCGACACGCGCGCAGTCTTAGCCAGCGGCAAAATTGGATTTCCCATCTTTTTATCAATCTTTCTATGAATATCTGCTTTTAGTAAAATCCAACTATTGGTCTATTATCAATGCTGCGTTCTGACTGGTTGAGCTACTTCTAGGCTATATGTTTTAGCCCACTAGTAGCGATAAGCGCCGGCTTTTTGGCGGCAAAAAAAGGATTAAAGTCTAGCTTTAACTAGATATTTTTTATCAACTAGTTGGATTTCACTAAAACAATTATTCCGCTCGCCCTCATGGCCTCTGAGTCAATAGCCCATTCGGCCTTAGGGCTCATGGGCTATTGACTCAGAGCCCATTCGACCCATTCGGGCTCGTCGCCTGTGAAAACATCCGTTTTTCCTCGTTCTTCGCCGATGGGGACGTTTCGCGCGGAGGAACGTCTGACTCAGCGACAGAAATTCCATACTGATGAAGTAAAATCTGTTCGGAATCCGGCCAGAAGCGCTGATTGGTCGACGGAGTAGTTACATTGTTTTAGCTATTGTTTACGAATGACAGACAAAAGACAAAAGGCCACAAAGGTCAAATGTAAACGCGAAGAATCTCTAACAAACCAGTCAATATTGGCGGAATATAGTCTTCTCTTGAAGAAGCATTTGAGTTCTGCTGGAGCTCGTTGGCAGATGAACACAACACTTTACCAAAATCGACCATAAGACACGTAAAATTGGACAAATTTGTATTTGGAACCCCATGACTACTGGATTTATTATGTGAGCATTGGTTTGCGTCATCAGTATGGAATTTCTGCCGCTGAGTCGCAGACGTTCATTCTCGCGAAACGTCCCCGAGTGGCGAAGAGCGAGGAGAAACGGTTGTTTTCGCAGGCTATCGGGCTCGAGGAATAATTGTTAAATATTTTTTGATTGGTGTCTGCCAATGCCTTCATGCAGCGTTACGTCATGGAGCTGTTTCCAGGGAACATATAGTTCGCCGCCGATGACCAGGGCGCACTTTCATGTTGTGTGGGTGTCTTTTCATCGTCTGTTAAACAATGTTTTACAATCGGTGAATCACGAGCAATTCCCCATGCAAATGACACAGAACAGCAAGCACAACAAGTGGCTGGAAATCCTCGCGGGCGAAGATTTTCCACCGAAACTCCTCTGGAGAACGCCGACCAAAATTCATCGAGAGCGGATCGAAGAAGATCACCGAGAAGAACAAGGAACATCGCTTAGGACAGCGAAGGCAACGTTGTCAACACAGCGATCGAAAAAACATGTACAGAGGCAGCGACAAAATGCTACAATTACACTACAAACGAGACCGATGAAGAGAGGGAACACCGACTTCCGACGCTTCAAAAAGCGACGAGGAGATAAGGCAACGCTTGAAGTTTAAAGACAAAATTATCTTCTTCGATGCAGCGATAGGCAGCAAGAGTTACACGATCTGTACAATACACGTCAAGAACATCTTTCCAACGGACTCTATCAGCCTTTACACTATGAGCAACAATGGGTTTTACAGTAAGCTTTATTTTACAGTAAAAAGATTAGAACACCGATAAAGAAACTCTTATTTTCCCATTTTTGTTATTCTTCTTTCAAGAAACGATCTTCTCATTACAAGATTCTTGTGATAAGACTTGAACTTCTTGTAAAGAGATCAAACAGGAAAGACTTCTTGTCAAAAGAATGCATTGCATTCGAATCTCTTGAGAAGAACCACTTTTTTATGAAGTCTTAAAAAAAGATTGAAAATTCTTATCTCAAGAATGAGAATTGTTGTTACCAGGTCATGTATGAGAGAGTTCTTCTGAAAGGAATTACTTTTATCTTAATCTTCTGAGAAGATTAACCATTTCAGAAATCACCGAAGAACAAGAATCCTTGTAATAAGAATAAGGATTCTTCTTACCAAACCGGCAATGAAAGATTTTTTTTTCAAGAAAAAATGATTACATCTACATATTTTCAATCTCATTACATGAAAAAAAAATAGTTCCTTTTGACAAAAACTTAAATATTAATGAAACGAAGAATTTTAAAAAAAATAATCTTGATCGTCTTTAACTGGCGGAAATACGAGATTTATAACAGCATTGACAGATTTTTATAGGTATCAGTTGTCAACTTTTATTCACTCATGTGTCGTGGGTCTATCCTAACCTGTGTACAGACCCCCCCTCCATACCTTCTCCGATTTTTACTGAGGGGAGGGGGGGGAGTCTGTCCCTGCTTTTTCAACGTTTTGAAAGGTAAAGCACATTTCAGTTCGGCTTTTGATTATTTACTAACAAAAAACAGTCCAGAAAGAATCAAAGTTAATATTAGGTTGATGTGAAACATGTCTCTGAACGACGAGAGGACGGGTCATCGTGATCGCGCCGATCGCGCCCTAGGCACGAATGCAGGTAGGTACTTTAAGTAGGGTTATTAAAGTGTATCACGAATGCATTTAAAATGATGTATTAACATGTTTTGTAAACCACTTTTATGTATAACCATGTACTACCATGTATAACTGATTAACCATGTATTGCCAGGTATTACAATGCATTGCCAAGTATTACCATGTACTGCCATGTATAGCCATGTATTACCATGTACTGCCATGTATCGCAATATATTACCATGTATTACCATGTAATGCCATGTATTACTATCATATGTATTACAATGTATTGCCATGTATACCCTGTTTTGCCGTGTATAGCCACGTATTGCCATGTATACCCATGTTTTGCGATGTATTACTATGTATTACGATGTATTGCCGTGTATACCCATGTATTGCCATGTATTATTATGTCTTACCATGTATTGACGTGTATCGCCATATATTACCATGTATTACCATGCATTGCCATGTATTACTAAGTATTAGAATATATTAACATGTATTGCCATGTACCACCATGTAGTGCCGTGTATAGCCATGTACTGCCATGTATAACCATGTTTTGCCATGTATTACTATGTATTGCCATGTATTGCCATGTGTTACCATGTATTGCCGTGTATACCGATGTATTGCCATGTATTATTATGTCTTACCATGTATTGCCGTGTATACCCATGTATTGCCATTTATTATTATGTCTTACCATGTATTGACATGTATCGCCATATATTACCATGTATTACCATGCATTGCCATGTATTACTAAGTATTAGAATATATTACCATGTATTACCATGTATTGCCGCGTATAGCCATGTACTGCCATGTATAACCATGTTTTGCCATGTATTACTATGTATTGTCATGTATTACCGTGTATAGCTATGTACTGCTATGTATACCCTTGTATTACCATGTACTGCCATGTATTGCCATGTATTACCATGTACTGCCATGTATAGCCATTTATTGCCATATATTACTATGTATTGCCGTGTATAGCCATGTACTGCCATTTATACTCATGTTTTGCCATTATATTACCATGTATTGCCGTGTATAGCCATGTATTATTATGTATTACCATGTACTGCTATGTATTACCATGTATTGCCATGTATTGCCATATACTACCATGTATTACTATGTATTACAATGTCTTACCATGTATTACTATGTATTGTGTATTACCAAGATGGCTGGATGCGTTACCACGTTGTCCGTTAATTTTGGCCTCCTGCTCTGCCTGTTTCTTATCTTGAATGGCATAAAACAAAACAAATCATCAACGAAGCCACTAAGCAATAGTAGCAACCTATATTTTGCTTCCCAAGAAGCTTGCAGGATTAAAATTCAATCTTTTCACTCTCTGGCACGGCGTCCAGCAAAACACCAAGCAGTCGGAGCTTTCCAGAAAGGCTTTATTACGTGCAAGCTTATACTTCATGGCTCTCTAGCCTTGGCTCTAATAGCGCTTGCCGGAGATGTTGAACTCAACCCTGGATATAGGAGTTTGGAGGATGTCAGGAGTTCACGAGGATTGAGGCTTGCTCATCTAAATATTCGAAGCTTGAGGAACAAATCAGACTCGCTGCGCCTGGAGGGTTTGGATAACAGAACGATCGATATTCTTACACTCAGTGAGACTTGGCTGGATGACTGCTATGAAGACTCTCATGTTATTATTCCAGGATATAATTGCATTCGCCTGGATAGGTCTGGAGCCAAAGAAGGTTTTGGTGGAGTAGCAATCTATGTAAAGGAAGGCTTGCCGTTTCGTGTTAGGAATGATCTTTACTCAGCCGCAAATGAATGTCTATGGATTGAGCTATCGCGCACTAAATGTCGCCCAGTATTGATTTGTTGTGCATATAGAGCCCCGGTTTTGACTTTGCGAACTTTATTTCAAACTTGGAGATATCTATGACGAAAGTTAACCTGGAAAAATGTGATTTCGTGCTTCTTGGCGACCTAAATGCAAATATGCTGCCATTTTCAAGAAAGAAAGAAAACAAGAGCTTAAAAAATTTGCAACTTCACACGATCTTACGCAACTCATTACTGAGGCCACCCGAGTGACGGAAACCTGTCAATCCTTGCTTGACGTGATTTTAGTGAACAATGATCACCGCATCAATGACTCCGGTGTTGTTCCTGTTTCGCTGAGTGATCACTACCTCGTCTATTGTGTTTTAAAAGCAGGTGTAATTAAGGCACCACCGAAGACAATTGAATACCGCTCTTATAAAAACTTTGATGCGAACACCTTCCTAGCGGACTTGAATAACGTCCCATGGCACATCATTGAAAACGAGGAAGACATCGACGACGCCGTGTTTATTTGGAATCACTTGTTTTCTGAAATAGCTGACCTGCATGCGCCCGTGAAAAGGCGAAGAATACGAGGTGTTCCGCTCCCGTGGTTGAATGATACAATCAGTGAGGTGATGAAGGATCGTGATTTTCACCATCGTAAAGCCGTGAAAACCAATTCTGCTTTTCACTGGGCTCGCTATAGAAAGTTAAGAAATAGGGTCAATCGTGAAGTCAAGGCAGCAAAATCCAAGTATTATTGTGACTTGATTTTAGAGGCTAAAGGGGATTCAGGAAAGATCTGGAAGGCGGTGAATGAGGTGTCTTCGCGCAAGACTAAATCCTCGAGCCCACAATGTATCGTAGTTGATGGTGTTGAACACACCACCCCAGCCTCTATTGCATCCGTGCTCAACTGTTATTTCTCATCCATTGGCAGAAGTCTTGCAAATAAAATATCAGCTGCTGCTATGTTCCCAGTCAGACCGGCCACGATGCTACAGTCTTTCTCGCTTGACGAAGTTGATGAGAAAACAGTACTCAAGCATCTGCTTTCTCTAAAGACAAATAAAGCTATTGGCTTGGACAACATCAGTGCGAGACTTTTAAAGTGTGGCGCGCGTGCTATTTGTCCCTCGATCACCAAGTTACTGAATCTCTCTATTCGCACTGGCAATTTTCCTGAAATATGGAAATGCTCGAAAGTGGCTGCACTTTTCAAAACTGGAGATAGGAGAGATGCGTCAAATTATCGCCCAATTTCTATTCTGCCAACAATGAGTAAAATTCTGGAAAAAGTCGTCCATTCCCAATTCTATGACTTTCTGAATTCAAATAATCTCCTTTCAAGCAAACAATTTGGCTTCCGTCCCAAACTGTCTAAGACATCGGCTCTCACCAGTTTTGCAGATGAGGTCCTATTGCATATGGAGAGTGGAGAACTGTGCGGTGCAGTGTTCCTAGATCTGACCAAGGCATTCGATACCGTTGACCATACGATCTTGCTATCTAAATTGTCGGCTATCGATGTCTCGCCCAGCACTCTACAGTGGTTCAAGTCTTACCTGAATCATCGTAAACAGCGGACTGCCTGTAGCGATGCTGTGTCTGACCCTCTCCCGATGACCTTTGGGGTGCCACAGGGGAGCATTCTAGGACCGCTTCTCTTCTTGGTTTATATTAATGACCTTCCGCTGGTTATAAAGAATTGCGAAGTGACTTTGTATGCTGATGACACGGTCCTGTACTACTTTGCTAAAGAGCCACACCTGTTAGAAGAGGCACTGAATGATGATCTCTTGAAAGTTGCCCAGTGGTTACATGGAAATAAGTTAACTTTAAATCTTACTAAGACGAAATCCATGATTATAGGCAGTAATAGGAAACTTGTTGGTATTTCCTCTTTCACGTTATCTATTTTTGACACTGATATAAATTCTGTAAGTAGTTTTAAATATTTGGGAGTTATGTTGTCTTCAACTTTCACATGGTCCGACCATATTGAGTATATTTCATGTAAGGTTGATAAAAACCTTGGTCTTCTACGTAGGATTAAGTATTATTTGCCTTATGATGCCCGGTTACTTTTTTTTATAATAGCTTAGTGCTACCTATTTTTGATTATGCTGATTTAGTCTGGGGTGACAAGGACAATGTCTCACTTATGAAGGAATTGCAAATTCTCCAAAACAAAGCAGCTAAGTTGATATTAGATAGATCACCTCACTCCTCATCCACCGATGCATTGATTGTCTTGAGATGGCTGAATCTTGAAGAACGTAGGAAATGTCATCGATGTATATATGCATACAAGTGTATTAATGGCCAACTTAATCATTCTTTGGACATTGTAAGAAAGAGTGATATACATTCCTACAATACGCGCAATAACGATACTATCAAGCTCCCCAAAATTAAATATAATTGGGGAAAACAACGTTCGCGGTACCACTGTTTCAAAGACTTTAATGAATTAGAGAGAACTGTAAGAAACTCAGCAAGTTTTCCAATTTTTAAGAAGTGTCTTTTTTCTGCTTTTTATAATTGAGTACTTGTAGTGTGTATGTTTTAATTATTTCTGTAACTCGATTTTAGCTTGAATTTTTTTTTTTTTTTTTTTTTTTTTTTGTATCATATATATCGATTTTAGCTTAACCTTTTTATATTTTAATTGTATTATATAATATACATCTCGTAATTAGGACCTCTATGTAAACCACTCTTGTGATGGAGCATCCTATTAAAAGATTGTTATTATTATTATTGCCGTGTATACCCATGTATTGCCATGCATTATTATGTCTTACCATGTATTGACATGTATCGCCATATATTACCATGCATTGCCATGTATTACTAAGTATTAGAATGTATTAGAATGTATTACCATGTATTGCCATGTATCACCATGTATTGCCGTGTATAGTCATGTACTGCCATGTATAACCATGTTTTGCCATGTAATATATAGATTTAGCCAGGGCTAAAAGCGAGGCTCCCATTAATAAATTCATGATTTAAATCAAACAATAAACTTGTATTCCACAATTCAGTTCACTTTAGAGCACATTTATGTGACTTTTGAGGAAAAGGCTAAGTGATTTTAGAGAAAAATAATTTGCAAACAGCCCAAGAGTGAACCAAATCTTACATCGAGTTGATAGCCTCATATTTACACCCAAAAACTGGTAATCAACTTCGATCACATTTAAGAGCCATAATGGCTCTTGATCGCCGTAGATTAATTAGGCCTGGAAAAAAAATCAGGCACGAATTTTTTGCGTTCGACAAGTTACTTTGCAAAATCTTGCCAACAAATCTGGGTGCGTATAAACCAACCGTTTATACCACTGATACATAACATCTGAGGTGAAACTACTATGAGGCACTGTTTTTATCATACAGATCTTGGATAGAAAGCAGTATTTCACAATTTTGCAATACAAATGGCACTCATTCAATATTAAGGACGATGGAAGTACGCGTGGGCTTTTCAGCTAAACCGTTAAAAAAATTTCCAAAATCAGCTTTACGGCCATCCGGTTCTCATTTTTGTAGTGCGAGCTGTGGCGAGTGTTGGTTTGAATGAACATTTACAGAGTTACGCTCCAACAGAATAAAGAATTTATTGTTTACTTTTTTATTTTAAAATGGTTTAACGCGCGGCATTTTGAGTAGTCCTGCACGCGATGTTCACTGAACAACTGAAAACAATCGGCACAGCGATTAAAATTACAAGAGAGACTACTAACAATCAATAAAAGAAATATAATTCGGTGAAACATATACAGAGACAACAATTTTCATTCAGGAAGACAAGTATTAAAGTGTCTCTAAAAATCCTGAGTCTTCAAGCTTAAAGCTTAAGACAGTTTATGTTTTAAGCCAGCTTCCCGGTGTTTGCTTTTCTCAAAGACGAACTCGAGGCAAGAAAATCACTCACAGCTTTCTTTTACAGCCAGAATTATAATAAAATATTCTTTGGAACGTTTTCTTTTTATTTGCGGTGAGAAACTGTCAAAAGGCTTTTTAAAGTTCTGTAAGTTTATATTAAACCTGATACTCGGTTAGATCATTGTCTCTAATCTTACAAACGTGCATAAACTAAATACCCTCATAAACTACGCTCGACTTCATTAAGTTAGATATAAAAAACAAACATCAAATACAATAATTACTCTGGCTCACCATTCGAGACGCAGCTCCTGAAAGGTATCAAGTAAGGCCAGTATCGCTTCAGACTTCGCAGCCCTCTTACACATCAAGCAAGGTGAAAACGAAAACGATGCCATCCGAAATCGGATTTCCGACTTTGACAAGCGACGTATTTCTCATCCAAAAACCCAATAAACAAACTAGCCATGAATAGCAGAAGACTCCCGATAGCAGCTGAATTTCATTTTGTACATTCAGTGGAAAAAGACAGTTAAAAACATCACTAGTTGACACAAAACTCTGTCAGCTTCAGCTGTCAACAAGATTCAAGACGCTGCATAATTTTTCCGCATGAACTCACCTGTCAAATTTTGACCAATCAGAGCATAAAAATTGAACGTAGAGCGTGACCAACGCGTGACCATGGTGAGAAAAGTCAAAAGCAACTGTCTTCCCTGCCCTTAATAGATGGCTGAATTTTCGCGTCCGAGGTCAGTTTGAAATCCGATTATCGGCTCCTGACACAACATATTTCATATGAATTTAACAACCAAAATAAACTTGAGCTTGCGATCACTTGAAAACTAGTTACTTGCCACCGGATAACTTCAAAAAAATACTTGATCTCGATGGGTCGACACCTGAGCCCGCGATACGGCCAAGTGATACTGGTCAGCGGGTACCCTGTTTTGACAGCTGTCAATTGATCAAAACATTGATGTCCAATGTGTGTGCATTATCGTGCATTATCAGTTTTCCTGTGTTCCCAGGCTAGAAAGTATGAGATTGAACATTGTTCGCGATCTAGTAAGACAGTTAACTGGTCAGCGGACAGATTCCAAATAAATCACGTCACCTCGATGAGTTGACACATAAGCCCGCGATATGGGCATGGGATACTGGTCAATGGCTATCCTGTTTTGACAGCTGTCAATTGACCATATAGTGAATGTCCTATATAAAAGATGTGGACTTGCCAAGACACGCCAGAGACACCCCTCCCTTCCTTTTGATAGTCTCCCCTACCCCACCCGTACAATCCGTAGACGCGTACGTACGCTCGGTCAATCACGTGACAACCAAACGAAAAGAGGTTGACCATATTCCATGAGTATGGGGCTCTGTCCCACGCGCACTTCGCGCGCGCGGGAGCCCCGCTATTACTATGTATTGCCATGTATTACCATGTATTGCCGTGTATACCCATGTATTGCCATATATTATTATGTCTTACCATGTATTGACATGTATCGCCATATATTTAACAATTATTCGCCGAAGGCGAAGTTAATATTGTTGAATAATCCCCGAGACGAAGTCGAGGGGATTATTCAACAATGTTAACTGAGCCTGAGGTGAATAATTGTTTTAGTATATTCACACGAAGTGATCTCAACAGAATCGGAAAGGAAACCATTAAAAAACGATTAGTTTGATTGACGGGTGAATTCATGCGTGTACACGAAGCCGTAAACAGTGGATGCGCAAAACTTAGATCTTTACAGTATCTTCAAACATGGCAAATGATAGTTTTAATCCTTTTGTATCGAGTTTTGTAAGCTTTAGCATCAACGGTTTAAAAGAAAACGCCGAAAATTTAAATTACTACCCAATTCTGGGAAGAAAAGTATCTAGAGCTTTATTTGTTTCTGTCAACTCACCATGAATGAGAAAGTTTTCTTCGTCGCTTCTTGCAAATGCTGTCAACAGCGGCTGCGATCAAGGTGAGCGTTGTTTATCTCCAAAGTTCTTTGCCTTGTTAACTTGGTGGCACGTACAATTTTCGAAAATATTTGCCTTCCTCTCTTCTCCATAAATTAACTCCTATTTATAGGCAAAATTGGTCTTGCGAGAAAATCCCGAAATCACAAAACAGTGACAAAGCGACCTCGTTTTCCTCTGTAGTGGTAAACATAGATTCGAGCGTACAAAAAGTCAGCTAAAGTAAACCACTTCACAATAAATCACGCTGTTTAAACACCATGAAGTCTTTTCTTGCCTTCAAAGTCATCAGCACTTGGATATTCGTGTATTTTCAAAAAGGTTTTACTTTGAAACTTTGGCAAAACACCCAGTTCACGACAGCGATTTTGTTCGGCTTTATATTCACCGCCTAGCGCGGTGAATATAACGTCATAGTCCGAGATAGCTAACCAATCAGATTGCTTGAATTACCAAGATCACTGAGTGTGTATATACTAATACCATGTATTACCATGCATTGCCATGTATTACTAAGTATTAGAATGTATTACCATGTATCACCATGTATTGCCGTGTATAGCCATGTATAACCATGTTTTGCCATGTATTACTATGTATTGCCATTTATAAAATAACTGAGATAGTACGCGTGATCTGATTGGTCAAAAACGTATGGTTTATTATACCGGTAAACCCATAGAAAAAGGCATCCGCACCACGAGCCATAAACAAAACCGGCTATTGATCTGCAAACAACGATTTTAGAAAGGCTGAAAACAGAACAAGTTACTTACCCAGCCCTTCTTAATATTAAAAGCGTTGGTTTCCACATTTTATTACTGGGGGTCACAATTCGCGACTGCCATAGCTTTAGAGGTTATAACTGAGTACAAAGCTGGAAAGCAGTTTACATTTCAACTATTTCACAACGATGCCAAATCGCAGAGAAAGACAACAACTGTGTGAATTTCTCGTGTAGAAAGTCTCCAGGAAAACTTAACCAAGTGCCAACCAGCAACAAAACGGATAGTTTTAGCATTCTTGATTTATTTTATGTCAAAATTAAATTCCTTAATGAAAGAAATTGTTCCAAAAAGAGATCTCTGATCAAGATATGTTACAAAATCGGCCGCTGTAGGTTGTAAACAAGCTGCCAACGATGATGAAAGATGTCAGAGTTTCGGGCTGGTCTTTTCCAACATTTGCACAAATTATTCCGTGATATCCATGCCATAACCTACCTCAAACCACCTGACTTCACAAGTCGACAAATATTAACGCCAATATGTGGCTACGGCAAAGAAACCTTTCTTCGACATATTTCCATCGGTCGCTGTACGAGCATATAAAGTTACATGCGACAACTTCGCAAATGCAGCCACGTCGTTACCGCAGCATTTCTTGATCACAATAAAAACCACTGCGGCATGTAAAAAGTGAATGAAGTCCTCCATTACAATAGCTGCCAGTTCCGTCTGTAAGCACGAAATTCTTACGGATCGACTCAACAAAATACAGCTGCGTACAGTCTGATGTTCAAGTAATTTCTACTTCTGTAGTAAACAAACCACGAACGTATTCTTTCACTGTACGTTCGCATGAATATGTGTTGACTTTTCCTGTAAAACAGCTTTCATAAGTTTTCGTGTTATGAGTGCAAAAACTCGTGTTTTGAAGTGCTGCTGTTTGTTGTTTGACTGAACTGAGTTTTGAGAAAGTTCAGCGCTATTAAATCGTGAGTCATGATTGGCTTATGATGACTTTAGAGAGAAGACATGACTTGATCACGGAACTAAAAGCATACTTTTTACCTAAAAAAAGCTTGTAAATCACTCGCCTTCGGATCGTGATTTACAAGCTTTTCTCGTGATCTCCCAACATCCCAAGTGGGTTATCACGCCGGTAAACCCATAGAAAGTGTGGTCTATTGCTTAAATATTACCATGTATTACCGTGTATAGCTATGTACTGCTATGTATACCCTTGTATTACCATGTACTGCCATGTATAGCCATGTATTGCCATGTATTACCATGTACTGCCATGTATAGCCATTTATTGCCATATATTACTATGTATTGCCGTGTATAGCCATGTACTGCCATTTATACCCATGTTTTGCTATGTATTACCATGTATTGCCATTATATTACCATGTATTGCAGTGTATAGCCATGTATTATTTAACAATTATTCCACGAGGGCGCGTTGGATATGAGATGATATATAGATAGCCAACGAAGCGCTTAGCGCCGAGTTGGCTATAATCATTTCATATCCAACAAGCCCGAGTGGAATAATTGTTTTATTAAAAACGCCCACAAAATCTCGTTGAATTGCCCCGACTAGAACAAACCGGAAAAGACAAGGGACTTCCGCTATTGACATGTCACGCGTCTATCAAAACTGTCAACGCGCGAACGGACTCGCCTAGACTGCATGAATGAAAAATCAAAACATTGTAGCGATGAACATTAGTTTTTTAAAAACTCATCGTGATTCTAGGATTTTACACAGCAGAACAGCTTAAAAAACCTGGCAGATAATGTGAAGGAAAGGAATTTTTAAGTGACAGCCGTCGAAATTACTATGAATTTGGATTTTCGGTGCAGTTATAAAAGTAAGAACAACGGAGAAAAACTACCGGTATTACCTCGGTCGCTTGTTATGAAGTTGTTTGAAGCCACAAGCTGGTTTTGCTGAACGAGAAAAGAAGCTATACTGCCGCCTCGATTGCTCTAGTGAATGGCTGCATAGCCTGTATTTGTAGCTGGTTACTTGTGATTTATATTCTTGATGTCGGATAAACAAGCTGCAATTATCTATCGGCGAGTGACTTGATCGGCGAATGGCTTCGCGATCATGAAGAAACAACACTTGTCTTCTTTCGTAGCTGGTCAAGGTACTTTAGTTCCATGTGTTTTCATGTGTTTTTCGACAAACTTTCAGACAAGCTCTTGTGGCTTTTTTGTTTGTTTTTGCCTCTTTTCTTGCGCTGAAATTGCATTTCTAGTATTCTAAGAAATGAATTAAAACGATTTGCTTCGGGCGCCGTTCTATCCTTCGCGAAAAAAAATCTCAGCTAGCTTCCAATTTTAAACTGACGCGTACACCGACCATATATGGAAAACATGGTATATTAGCTCATATACCATAACGGCTAAGCCAATCAAAATGCTAGAATTGCATTATCCAATGATTCAGTTTTTAATAATATGTATTACCATATACTGCTATGTATTACCATGTACTGCCATGTATTGCTATGTCCTGCCATGTATCGCCATATACTACCATGTATTACCATGTATTGCTATGTATTACAATGTATTACCATGTATTGCCGTGTATAGCGAAGTACTGCCATGTATACCCATGTTTTGCCATGTATTACTATGTATTATCATGTATTGCCGTGTATAACCATGTACTGCCATATATACCCATGTATTACCATGTATTATTATGTATTACCATACATTGCCATGTATTACCATGTACTGCCACGTATAGCCATGTATTACCACGTATTGCCATGTACTGCCATGTATTACTATGTATTACCATGTACTGCCATGCATTACTATATATTACCATGTATTGCCATGTATAGCCATGTATCACTATGTATTACCATGTATTGCCATGTACTGCCACGTATAGCCATGTATTACTATTTATTATATACATACTGAGAAATACTCCCCAAAAAGCTATTTTCGTACGCAAATTAGTTCTAGCCAATCAGAGGAGCGAACGATGGTTTTCAGACGTGAAAAAAATGATACGTCCAATCAGAATCGCCAACGATGTTTTTTCACGTGTGAGAAAAATGATACGTCCAATCAGAGGCCACAGAGGTGTGCGAGTTTCGCGCCAAAATTCCCGCCTTTTATTGCAGCTTGCAGCGCCGCTTCGCACACGTTCAACGAGGAAAGTTTTTCTTAAAGAGTTTTTCTCGCTAAAAAAGTGAAAAACATTTCGGAAATGGAGTGGAATAGTTTCGTTTGTTTCACTGTCGATAAGAAAACAGTAGAGAGCCGGCGAAACAACAGCGGAAAGGGATAAACAGAACGAGACGTAAGCTTTTGTTGTGCTTGTTGTCGGAGCTACATTGCCTTTCATTTAAGCTTAAGCTTATATTGAAACCGGCCACTTTACTTAAATTCACTCATTTTCAATTGTGATTGAAAACAAACAGTTAAGATTACTTATAGTTCTTGGATTACCTCATATCCTTACCGTCATTTATGTTTTTAACAAACATTTTTACTAAAAAGCTGATACTTCGTTTTCGTCGTCATTTTGCAATAAGTGTGTAGCGACAAATTTTAGCATTTTTGAAAGATTTAAAATAAAAAGGCCGCCAAAATGGTGAATGTCTCAGTATGTATATAATAAACACAATACCACATGGAAAGTGCTGGCGTACGGTATTTACGCACGAGTTGTTGACGTATCAGAAATCTTACTCGTTCGCTGCGCTCACTCGTTCGATTTCTGATACGTCAACAACTCGTGCGTAAATACCGTACGCCAGCACTTTCCATGAAGTATTCTCTATGTATGACCATGTATAGCGATATATTAGTATGTATTACCATGTATTGACATGTATTACCATGTATTGCCATGTATAGCCATGTACTGCCATGAATAGCCATGCATTTTCATGTACTGCCATGTATTACTACGTATTACCATGTATAGCCATGTATTGCTATGTATTACCATCTATTGCCACCTTTTGACATTTACTGCCATGTATAGCCATGTATACCCATGTATTGCCATGTATTACTATGTATTGCCGTGGACTGCCGTGTATTACCATGTACTGCCATGTATAGCCATGTATTACCATATCTTTCCATGTATTGCCATATATTACCATGTATTGAATGTATTACGATGTACTGTCATGATTTTCACGATTGATAACGGAAGTCCATCATGGTTGTTTCTTGGCATAAGTCAGATAGTACAGCTAAGAAAACATATCCACGAGTAGCTAATGATGAACAAATAGAAATGGAGAAATGTGGGAACTATTACACACACAGAATCATGTCTAAAATCCTTCATTTCGAACAAAAACGGCTCGGGTTGATTACATTCAGTCCTCCCCGGTAAATACCACGGGAAATGCAACGTTAAGTAAAGATTTTTTAGTGGGCATTTCAGACGTCCCTTCGACTCGAAAGGATTTCTGAAATTCAGGCTAAAAGATTCCCTGGACAAATTGTCAACTCATTTGGTCAAGGAAAGTGTACATTTGACTCGTCAGTCTAGGAATTTGAAAACTATGCCTCTGGCAACCATGTCTCAAAAAGCTCATGCATATTGAGAACTGAGAAAGTGAACACCTTCAACATCACTTGTACGTGGACATTTCATACAAATTCACTCTTGCATGGGTATTTGTTTCTCATGCACAAATAACTATGAACACTTTCATAAATGACTTGGTACTTTTTACAGGGATAATTTAGTGCTAATGAGGGTACTGTATATTCAATAATCATGAGTCACGATCGCTTTCATTATTCTCCTCAACTGCATCCCTAATGACATTGAATTTCTTTTTTAGTGTAAGTGACTGTCTGCACCTTGCTGTTACAAACAATTAGCTGTCAAGTGTGATTATGTACTACAACAACTGCAAACACTCTCATTGCTGTAGTTCACTTATCAATAAATATTTTTTTCTCCAATTACCAGCATTTACTTATTTTCACTGCAGCATTATCTCCTACCATTTCATCCACTCACTACTACTGACACACTTCACAAGGAATTATTTTTACACTTATTACTAAAGATGGCATGGGTTAGCTGCATATTTGCCTGCAGTTATTCACCATCACACATATCTCCTTCGACTATAATCACACATGTAGGAGGATCTAATGGGGTGAATACAAGACCTATGAAACATTAGCTACCCTTCCTTAACAACACAAACTCCATTTAAACCCCAGAAATTCCTTTTTAATGACAGAGCACTGGGTTCAAATATTTACTCCAACCAAAAGGAGATTAACTGTATCTCACCCTTAAGTATCAGAGCCAGTGTTGAAGTCCACCCTCCCAAGCTACACAATTTACCCCAATTCACCCCCCTTCCATCCCTGACATTTTATGGGCCTCCCCCCAAGCTTCTGCGATACACGTATTTCTAGTTTAAGAAATAAATTACGTCTTCCCGTTGAAACAACAACAAAGTGACAGACTTACCACTGCGACACCTCATTCTCCATTCATGAGCTTCCCTTGGCCAGTCAAAGCATTTGAGCGCTAACGTCAAGTCTATGGTGTATGCTGTTCCATTGTATCTGTTCGTTATTTGCAAGGTTACAGCAGGTCCATGTGACTTTACAGTAATGAATCTTGAGATGAAAATAAACAGCATTACATTTAATTTACAATTTTTGGTTTCCTAAATGAAGAATGGTAGAACTTTAAGAAAAGGTTTTTTGATTCTCTTGTCGGTATAAAAATGTTTGAGATATCAGCATATTTTCTAACACCTAATTTTTACAAAAAGTGTCGGTAGTTTTGAATTAATCTCTCAACAGATTCTCCATAGCTTTGTCAAATAAGCCTCAGAGTCCTTAAGTTTTGTATCAGTGAGGACAATCACGACCATACCTCCAGCTACATAGTATGCTGTTCAAATTTAATATGAAATGACATGCTCACAATTTGTGTTACTCGATGCACTTACATAACCTTTTCCTCCGTGTTTTATTTGTTAGGTTTCCCTAGCATTTAAGTCTGTTTCAGAGCGATTCCAGTGAGTTTAAGCTGTGCCGTTGTTCTCTCTACGTATCATTTTAGTGATATATAAAGGGAACAAAGATATTTAGAGAGAACGGCATGGCCAAAATTCGCTTGAACCGCTCTAAAACTGCCTTAAATGCCAAGGAAACACCACAAACAAAACATGGAGACAAGGGAAGGAATTCTGCTGCCTTTTTATTACTTTTTTAATCCCCTAACAGCCTTCTAAGAAAGCGTGTACAAACCCTATGTCACGCTTACATTAGTTAATCACATGATCAAAATTTTGTTACCACAAGCTGAAAGAACATATTAAAATTAGGTAACCTGTAAATTTGCAGCTGTATATCTCAAAAGCAGCGATTGCAATGACCACCAAAATAAGCAAATGTTATTTTTGCCGCTTTTCAAAATGAAAGTGGAATGCTCCACACAAATTGATTTCTTTGGTGTTTGTTTCTGACTGGATTTGACCACTGATGCGGTTAAGCATAACATGTGCATCAGGCTTCATACAAAAAATTGCAACCATTTTTCAAGGACTTTTCAAGGACCACATTAGATTTTCAAGGACCGCCTACTAGGAATATCATTTCACAGATTGTACAAAAATGCACTTTCCCAGTCTATTCTAATAAGACTTTTGAAAGGCTTGAACTGTTTGCTTTACCAACTTCTCTACATTTTTCAGTTCACTTGTCTTAATCGGATAGTTTTTTTTTTTTTTTTTTTTTTTTTTTTTTTTTTTTTTTTTTGAAATTAATTAATTTATTTATTTGCGTCACTTATTTACATTACTTACATATAAAGCATATAGATACATGATATACATTGCTACTATACAGTAATTACTTAACAGTCCAGATATATAATACAGAGTAGCGAAAGTTACTTAAGTAGTTTTTGCATACTCACGCGCACACCCACACACGCACACACACGCACCACGCACGATTACTGATTATCCGCCTAGAAACGTCCTGAAAGAGCCTCTAGAGAGTTAGCGCGATTGCTGTTCTCCGTACATCTCGACAAAGGAAATAAGACTAAAGATCATTTTCCTGGATAAACGCTCCCCATTTTGCATTGAAATTTCTTAAAGTCCCAGTTTTAATGGCATAACGTCTTTCATAATCAAGACAATTTAGAAAGGTTCGAAAAAAGAGTTCCCATGAAGGGTTAAAGCCTTTTTGGTTTGAGAAATAGATGTGATACCTCGCGATTAAAAGTGCATGATGGAAAAGCAGGTTTGTAGTATCGTTCACGAGGCCTATGCAAGTCAAAAAGGAGAATTCTTCGTTAAGAAAGCAAGAGCTTTTTTTCATCCAGTTACTGATTTCATTCCAAAAAGATTTAACGAAAGGGCATTCCCAAAAGAGGTGCAAAAGAGTTTCCGAGCTTTCTTTACAGAAACGGCATTGATCATTGGATTTGATTCCAATTTTAAAAAGGAAATAGTTCGTTGCCAATTTTCTATGCAGAAGTTTAAATTGAAATACACGTAATTTAGATTCGTTGGTACATAGGAGAGCAAGGGTATATGACTTAGCCCAATCAATCGTGTCAAAGTCACAAAAGTTGCAGTCTGTCAGCCATTTTTCCTGACTTTTACAAGGGATAGAGGCGGTTTGAGTTAGAAAAGATTTGTAAGCTAATTTACAGAAAGCTTCAGAGGATAATAGGCTTCTGGTGTCGGTTTTAGCACCGTTCATTTGTGGGCAATGGTTTTTACGTTTTATATTCGAGATGGCACATATCACTCCGTGGTACTGTAGAAAGTAAGCTTTTATCGCAAACTTTTCCCTGAAAGTATCAAACGTTAAAAATTGTGAATCCTCTTCCAAAAGGTCATTTACGAAATAAATACCTGCCGTGGACCAGTTACGATAGTGGATAGGCTTGTTGTCAATACGTATAAGAGAGTTGTACCAAATTGGTGTTTCGCCGAAGTTGGAAAGTTGTTTTTTAAAATTCAGAAGTGACCACGTTTCAATAAGTTCTTTAGTAAAGGGGTCTTCTATTCCCAGGGAGGCAACATCATCCGAATTAAGGTTACCTTGCAAAAGAAGGTTAATGTCGTGACTTATTAGGGAGAACTCTACAAACAGCTTCCATTTTCCTCTGTTATGAGGATCTAGATATCGTTGAATCCATTTCGCTTTAAGAGCACGATTGAAACTTTGTAAATCTAGCATTTTGAGGCCACCTTCGGCAAAGTCATTGATTATTTCTGTTCTTTTGACCTTATCTTGTTTGCCATCCCATAGGAACTTAAAGAAAACATCTTTTATTTCTTTAAGTTCATGATGCGCCGATGGTAGAGGGGACAAGATGTAAACTAGCTGCGAAGCAAGCAAACTCTTAATGACCGTTATTTTCCCAAGAAGGGTTAATCTTCTGAATTGCCAAATATCAACTAACCTACAAATCTTTTCCTTTTTTTCTTCATAGTTCAGTGTTAGAGATTCGCCTTTAGTTGTAGAGAACCAGACCCCTAAGGCTTTAACTTTATTAACAGGCCACATAATATGTTGAAAACCCGGGATTACTCTTCTTTGCAAACGTGAAGAGCCAATCCAAAGAGCCTCTGTTTTTTCGTAATTGATTCGTAAGCCAGAGATAGTTGCGAAAGAATCTAAAAGACTAAAAGACTGGTGAACTGAGTTGTCTGAGCCATCTAGGATCAAGGTTGTATCATCTGGGTATTGACTTAGTTTACATTCTGTGCCTAAAACACAAATGCCTTTGATTTGATCGTGGTTTCGTATGGCATTTCCTAGTATTTCAACACATAAAATGAATAAATACGGGGATAAAGGACAACCTTGTCTGACACCTCTAGTAAGATTGAAAAAGGCGGAAGACCAACCGTTATTTTGAATGCAGCTGCTTATATCATTATAGAATAATTTAACCCAGGTAATCAAGGAGTCACCAAAGTTATAATAGCGGAGAGTTTTTTCAATAAAGTTCCATTCCAAAGTATCGAAGGCTTTCTCAAAATCTATAAAAAGTAAAATGCCAGGGATGTTCTGGCTTTCAGCGTAAGTTATTATACTGTCTATTAACCTAACATTTTCACCAATTGATCTACCTTTGAGGAAGCCCGTTTGATCATTGTTTATCATATCAGGTAACACTTTTTTTATTCTTGCTGCAATTGCTTTTGTTGCAATTTTGTAGTCGCAGTTTAAAAGGCTTATAGGTCTCCAGTTTTTTAGATGCTGTAGCGGTTTGTCTTTCTTTGGTATCAGGGTTATCAATCCCCTGCGCTGCGAGATGGAAAGGTGACCCTGGGTAAAAGACGAGTTTAAAGCGGCGAGTAAAAAGGTAGACAAATCGTCCCAAAAAACTTTATAAAATTCTGCTGGAAAACCGTCCGTCCCAGGCGATTTACCCGATTCCATTGTTTTTAGACTCTCTAAGCATTCCGTTGCTGACAGTAGGCCTTCGCAAGATTCTTTTTGATTATTACCTAGCTTTGTTTCAGTAACCTCAGGGAAAAAAAGATTATCATAATCACTGACATCAACACTTGTAGTCGTGTAAAGATGCTCATAGTAGTTTTTTGCTTCGTCTAGAATCTCTTCGTCCGTCGAAAACTTCTTTCCATTTGCGCTTTGGAGGTACCTAATGGTTTTATTATTAAAGTGCCGCTTCTCCAGATTATGGAAATATTTTGTATTCTTTTCTCCTTCATTATACCATTTCACTTTTGATCTAAGAATAGCCCCTTGAGTTTTGTAGGCGATTATTTCTTCTATTAGCTGTTTCTTAATTCTGAGTTCAGTCCGTATGTTTTCTTTCACTATGTCTGATACGTTACGTTCGTCAAGCTTATTCTCGAGTGCTAAAACTTCTTCTTCTAACTGATTTTTCTATTTTCCAGACGCCGTTTCCTGGCTGCGGCATAATTTAAAGAGGCTTCTCTAATTTTCATTTTGATGATGTCCCATAATAAAATCTCGTCAACTTCACTCTGGCCTTCATATTCCTTACACACATCAGCGATAGTTTTGCGTATCAACTCAACGTATTGCGTTTCAGTTAAGAGGTGTGTGTTTAATTTCCAATAACCTGGTCCTCTGGGGTTTCGGGCTGTGTTTATGCGAAATGTAATCATCGAGTGGTCTGTTCGGTAACCGGGCACTATGTCGGCTTCCGTGATCACTGGGCAAAGAGAAAGACTAATGAGGAAGAAATCTAAGCGGCATTGGATCTCAGGGTTTTCCCTTCTCCACGTAAAACGCGTGGCCTCAGGGTTAAGTACGCGCCAAATATCAGCCAATTCGAAATCTTCTCTGATAGCCTCTACTTCATCTTTAGATTTCAAGTGTGTTGTGGCAACACCCCCTTTTTTGTCTTTAGAAACATCACAAACTAAATTGAAGTCGCCACCAAAAATTACAAAAACGCATTCAAAGGAGCACAGCTTCTCACGTACGTTTCTAAAGAAGGCTGGGTTGTCCTCATTAGGCGCGTAGACATTTACTAGTGTCATAATTTTGTCCCCAGTATCTATGTCTGAAATAATAAACCTCCCTTCGGGGTCGGCAAAATGTTTCAGAATTTGAAATTGAAAATTGTTGTTGAACAGTATAGCAACGCCTGCCTTAGAGCTTGAGAAGGTTGTAAAAATAGTCGAATATCCCCATTCAGAATGCCAATAAGGTTCTGTCTCTTTTGTGCTATGCACCTCTTGCAAAAAGTAAATAGAGAACTTTTTTTTCTTTAACCATAAAAACGTTTCTCTCCGTTTAGAATTGTTTGACAAACCTCTGACGTTTAGGGAGCAAATTACCATATCATCAGGTTCCATGGTGAAAAGGTGAGAAAGGAAATCCTTTGTTGAGAGTGTCAAGAGAGCAGCTATGTAATTTAGCATTATAACTAGGCCTAGATATTTGCAAATTGTACAAGGTACATGAAAAGGACGGATAATAACACACAGAAGAACATAAACACAGATACAGACACATATTACAGTAATAAATCCTTTTGGGTTCCGTCGCTTTTGGTAATAGCCCGATCGATGTTCCTATAAATAGAACTCCCTGACATCGTTATACATAAAAGGTTGAAAAAAAAAAAGCGTTAAATAAGTGGAAAAGTAGCTGCAAAATAAATTATTTGGCATTCGCAGAGAAAAAACTTATTATTGAAAAGGATATCACTCTATTGGTTCACCAGGGGCAATGTACTTTCCGTTGACATACAGTTTGTCTGGCTGAGCTTTACTGAAATAGGCGGTAAAGCCTTTTTCTCTGGCCTTCTGCAACTTCTTCATTTGTCCTTTCCTTGAGTCGTACAATAATTTTGGGATGTCATCGTAGACATGGAATTCCGTGTCCTTCAGATGTTTCCGGGCCTGATCCATCACTAGTTCCTTATCCCCATAACGTAAAAATCGTGCAATGATAGGACGCGAGCTTCCATTTTTCGATTTTCCTAAGCGGTGAAGCCTTTGGAATTCAATTTTTTGTCGCGCATTTGGAATCTTTAGTTGATGTTCGAGAAATTTATAGATAATCCCTCTTGTATCTTCTATTTTTGCTTGCGCGCCATTGTGATCTTCGTCACCACCATTCATGTTGTCAACTTGCTCTTCTAGCAGCCCCACAAATTTTACATTTTCCCTCCTAGAGTAGGTCTCCATGTAAAGAAGTTGTTTCTGGAGCTCGCAGACATCCTGTTGTAACTTTTGGTTTTCAAGTTTTAAGTCTGATATGTCCTCCTCATTAAATTCGATGCTTTCTTTCAATTCATTGACTGTTGAGCCAAGCTGTTTGGACTTTGTTTTGAGATCTTCGACATCCGAGTCCAGCCTGCTTACATTTTCTTCAATACTTGCTAGTGTTGTGTGCATCTGACTCAAGCGGCTTTCAATAGTATCAAGCTTTTCTAACTTCTTAAGTACAGCTTCAAGCTTCGACCCTACACCTTCCGCCATTTCTAAAGCTTCGAACACTTCGTCAGTCTCCGATGCAGTTGAGTGTGCCTTTCCCTCGTCTTTCGATTTTTTTTCATCTGGAGATGGCAAAGAATCTTTGGAAGCTTTTGACCGGTTTTTGCGTTTGCCCAGCATTAAAAAACTATAAATTTTCCCATGTTACCAGTCCCAGTCCCCAATCGGATAGTTAATTATTGCATAAAACGTAGAGCACTTTATGTAAATAACCTTCAATTTCTCTGAGCTGTGATTTATAATTATTCTGTCTTGGACAACGAAATAGCATCAAAAAATTCTTTCCAGGCCACTACATTCAGAGTTGAAGAAAATTCAAGGACTTTTCAAAGACTTGCACAGAAATTTGAGGCCTTTTCAAGGAAAAATGGACAAGGACTTCCCCTAAAATTCAAGGACTTTTCAAGACTGTGCAAGCCCTGTGCATGAGCAACTTCCTGTCAGTTTATTTACATGTGCTTTGCTCCTATTGGATAGTATCTTGACACCTTGAGGGGGGCGTAATTCAAAAATCAATAGCCCACATGCAGGCTAAAAACTAAATAAACAATGAACAATACCCAAAAATCTTACGGAAAGTTAATTGAAAATAACACTTTATACGATTGATATACTTTAACTTATTTACTGTCTTGGCTAGCTAATTGTTTCTTAAAGTTAGTAAAATCACTGGTTTGCATTGAGTCTGGTAGTAAGTTCCATTGTTTAGTGGCATGATAAGGAAAAGAATGAAGGCCATGAGTAGTACATGTAGTTTAAGTACAGGCGGTGTCAGAATATAGTTGCCACGTAAATTATAAGATGAAATACATAGATTGATCATATTCTTGACGTAGATACATGTAGGATACTTTAACAGTTAGAAACAAACTCTTGTAGAGTAAAATTAGCATAATATTGTGAATACGTCTGTTGTACAGACTGAGAAACACAGTTGACTCAGTTCATCCAATAAAATGTTATAAGCAGATTCAAAGTCGTCTAATATAAATCTAAGAATCGTTTGATTAAGGTTTTCTAGTTTTCCTACATTTTGCGCTCCACAGAAATGCCATACTGATGAGCAATAAATATTGAAAATGCAGTGGGATGAAAGCCTTGTGCAGTTTTGCCAATGTCATTTTGGTAATCAGTTTTCTGAATCACAACATGACGTTAAATTGATTATTGACCTTTCTGCAGGCAGAAGATGTGTGTTTATCAAATAATTGAAGTTAGCAGTCAAGGTTCAAGCCAAAAATGTTGATTGAGTCTTTAACAGGAAAGGAGAAACTACAATTGGTGTCTCCAATGACCAAGGCCTCATGTTTACTTTGGTTGACAATCATCTCATTTTTATTATACCATTGATTTACTGTTTCTACTTCCTTACATAAGGATTTTCCCAGTACCACTGCATCCCTTAAATCTGGTGATCATCGGCATATGCATTTAGTTTAGCCCACTTAATAAAATAAAAAGGTCATTTATGAAATAGACTGCAAAACAGTCGGTTTTTTTCTCAAAATCAGTAAAGAAATCGGTAAAGCGTGGCGTAAGAGTCTTACGCGCACGAAGCGCGCGAGCCTCACACGCCCTTAGGGCCTGTTTCAGCCTCATTCCAGACCTTTTGTTTGACTGCTCGCGCGTACTTGAATACGCAAAAATACGGACTGTTTTGCAATCTATTTATGAAAATAACATGGGCCCTCGAACGCTTGCTTGGGATCGGCTATTAATTGAGTTACGAGCTTGAGTTAAGTAAGAGTTGAGTTTGAGTTACCAAAAAATCCCTCTTTTTACAGAAAATGCGTTTTCACCGTTTTGGTTTCTGTTTTTAGTTTTTTTTGTTGCTGCGTTTTTATGACTAGTGCATGTAACTACGCCCCTGCAGGGGGAATGAAACACTTCATGGGTGCATGTTATTGAGAGCATTGTTCACATGTTCTGTGATCTTCCTCTTATTCAAACACAAGACTTTTTGGTCGCTTGATATGCTGAATCGTCTTTAGTATTGAATGATCTATCTTCATAGCCATTTAATAGTTTGCATGGCTTTCACATCCAGCACCTCAGTACAGAAGAACCTTGATATCGCAGAGGGCTGAGGGACTCGCAAAATATGTTTGCTATAACGAGGTTTTGTTATATCAAGGTTCTTTTCAATATATTTTGCTATAACTGGGGCAAAGAATATCATTCGTTATACCAAGGTTTTAATTCTATAGAGGTTCAGTATATCAACATTCCACTGTATAACTGAAGTTACACACATTGTAAATTACAGTCCACAGAAAAAAAAACAAAACAAAACAATAAACGATAAATTCACAAGGGTATTAATGTCCACACTGATACATTCTGGCTTACCTGTCCTGACCCATAAAGCTAATTGCATCTCTGACAAGCCTTGCAAAAACAGCTTTGACCCTTGATGCATATAACCGTCCATATGCATCAGCACAACTGTCTCTCCGCCATGACTTCATTATATTCTCAGAAACCGTAAGCCGCATGAATCCTAGGAACAGAAAGAAATATTATTGTCTTGAACATTTATTGTCACCTTCTCAAAGGATATTGACAAAAAAAGAAAAAAAACACACACAATGACAACAACAACCTGATTGTATAATAAAAAGGAGGTTCAATGTATTCTAGGGCAAGTTGTTCTTTACCCTAACAAGTTGTATAATTTATTAAGTTTTGCTTTTCTTAAAGGCTACTTCTACTTAGTAAAAATATGTTGGCCACTTTCTTTTGCATTTCCAATGTACTGTCCTTGCATGTGATGCTTTTTCTTATGTCCAGGATGTCTAAAGTCCCATGTGTTATGCAGCTTCTCCATTTTTTATTGTCTGCAGCTGCTCACTTTAATTCACATTCACTTCACAGTGTAGCTAGATTGCATGTTTATTGACCAGTCAGTAAAAGTTACTGTAAAAATGTCGAGAACATTTTATCTATGTGTTGATGAGTATCTACAGTAATTATGTCCCAACTGATTTGAGTGAGGTCATTATTAAAATTTTTAGGTGAAAAATTAGGATAGTCCTGTACTTTAGGTGAAACAGATAAAATGCGACTGGTCGGGTGAAGTGAAATACAAAACTGAGAAAAATGGTTTGTTAGATCGGAGACTACGTTACCGTGTACAAAGAATTTATTTTTCAAGGTCATTTGTAAAGATATTATTAATAAGAGTGGCCAATGTATTATGTACACGAGTGGGTTTGTCAATAGTTGGAATAAGATGAAAGCTTTGAGTGGACATTAAGAATCTTTGGCTAATGGAAGATGACTGCAACTTGAGCAGGTCAATGTTGAAATCCCCCATTATGTAGACGAGCCTGTCATGAAGAAAAGATTTTTCGACACCTTCATCAAAGTATATTTGAAAAGATTCCGGAGAATTCAGTCTAGTCTATAAAAAAGCCCACAAATAATATTCTTCTTGCAGCCAAGAATAATTTGAATCCACAATGCCTGGAATGCTTCACTCGAAATATTTTCTAGCAACATTCATTTAAGTGACACTAATATACACACCAACGCCTCCAGATGCCAGTGGTGTAGGGACGTACTCAAAGTTATAACCTTTCAATTGCGGGATATTTTGATTAGAATTAGCATGTGCTTGGAAGGTCTGGGGGTCTTGGGTCCCCCTCCCACCCTGTTTGCGGGCCCTTTGCCCTCCAAGCACCTTGGAGGGAAGGGTTGGGTAGTTGCTGCTCACACGGTTGTCCTGGATACCCTACGCGTTCAGCTCTGCTTGTCTCGTGGCTCCACCTTCTTCCGGCACCATTCCCCACGCTTATCTATTGTTGTTAATTTACCAGGTACACATATCAGAAAAATATTTTTCTGTCATAGCAAAAACTGTTTTTAAACAAGGAAATAAAGCCTTGGACCAGGCTCCACAGTGGGGGGAAAAGGCAAAAAATGGGGTCAAAAATATCAGAGAGTGAAGAAAGCTAAATGGCAGCCTGGGGAGGGGGGAAAGTATAAAAACATTTGAGATAAACCACCTTTTCACAAAAAATGGTAAATAACTTCAATATCCTACTACAGGTTTTTCTGTAACTTCACCAAATAAGCCTGAGAGCTCTCTAGTTTTATATTTGAAGCTTTGTAATCAACCTTGACCATGCAACTCGCTGCACAAAATGCTGGTAAAATTAAACCTTAAAATTCTACGCTTACACATTTGTGAAAGTTGACACACAAATAGGGGAAGAGTGCAGAAGGAAGGACTATCTCTGATCTGAAAGGGTATATTCTTACCCAAAGCTTTCTTGCTAGAAACTATGTAATCAGAAACCTACGACAAATACAATATTTATTAGCACTACAGGAAGAATACCTTTATGCTGAAAGCGTAGTGAGATGAAAAAATTCCTATTCATCAAACTGAGTTTGTATTTGTCCCTCTCTTTTCGAAACAAACCCAGTCCACAGAAAACGCAGATTCCTGTTTTGAGAAATAAAGCCACTAACTCCAGTCCTTCTAACCATCCCTCTTCCAGCTGCAATTAACACCCTTGTTTCTGGTGCTTTGTTTAAGTTTTTTAGATTTGACATTACATGTACATTTGCACAGGAAGTTTGCCACTTGGGGATAAAAAAGAAGACAAAAATTTATGACAAATTGTCTTATTCTTCTCATTGTCCAGGGGCACCCAATGACAATTTCCAGAAAATATCTGTTCGGAAGACGATTTGAGATCTAAAATTTTTGGAACATTTGTTGCAAAATTTCTTGCTTGCCTGCCTCTCCTAGGATTTTCGAACATCTAAAAAATGGTATAATCAGATAATTGCCCATTTTTAACGGATTTTTTACCCTTAAAAGGTCACCTAGAATTTTCGGGAGCCTTTTTTCTGGATGAAATTTTCGAAAAGGTAAGTTTTGATCCCTATAATTTCCGGATCACTAGACTTTCAGGTAGGAAATCCGAACAGATGAAAAATTTTAGGGGATAAAAATATAGCTATATCTACCATTTAAATACTAAAATACGTTAAACAATGCTGTGTTTAAGTGGTTTTGAACTATATTCTCGTTGGGTGCCCCTGATTATCCCCAATGGCAAATCTTCTAAGCTTGAATAAATTACCAAGTACAAGGGTTTTCATTAGAGCTGAAAAATGGATGGTTTAAAGTACTGAAGTTGGTGACTTTACTTCTCCTCAAAACTGGAACTGTCGGTGCTAAAAACTGGTGGGAGATTTCTTTAGATCATTCTGTATTTTGCTTTGTTGAGATTTTTTTAAAAAGAAAAAGACAAATAAAATACATGTAAGCATTAACTTGGATAAACCGAAGTTCTTTAATCTCACCCCGCAGTCAGCATAAAGCTATTCTTCTTGTAGGGTAAACTGTAGTCTCTGTAGGTTAGTGATTGCTTAGTTTACCCTTTCGGACAGGAGACAGTCTGTGGGCACTCTTCCACTATTTGCAGTGTTCTCCTTATCAGGCGGTAACCAGTAAAATTTACCACTTGAAGCAAGTACACTTCTTACCACCTGCAACCGCTTAAAGGTTTACTAAAATTATACAAGTTGGTTTACAAGTTGTGATCTTCTTTCTTATATGGGTCACGCATCATGGCAAGAGGACATTTAAAATAAGATAAAATTATTAAAATTACACGTTTTAATTAGTCGTCTAAAGATCTAAACCATAAATTTGTAGGGAAAAGGTATAATGCTGACTTCATTTCATAGGAGATATTTAAGCCCAGGACCAGGTTGTTCAAAGCTGGGTTAAGATAACCCAAGGTTAAGCGAAATTTGAATTCAGATATGAAAGCTTAAAAAATAAATTCAGTTCAATTCTTTTTGTCAACAAGTTGATGATTGGATGCTCTAAAAATAACAGAGAAAAATACTCGAGAAAATGCTTTTGAACAAACGAAAAAGAAACACGGGTTAAATTCAGCGCTAACCAGCCTTCAAACAACTGGGTCCAGAATAATAAATTGTGGCTCTTTAAAAAGTAAATTGTAAAATTAGTTGTAAGTTTTTAACCTCAGATTGGAAGGCCGATAGCTTACAACAGCGGATTAGTCTAAGAAAGGTAGGGCCATGTCGTTCACCCCACTTCCCCCCTCCCCCAGGAAATTGCGCCTCTGGCGTATATTTTTTGCCTTACCGCCAGGAATGGTCCCTTACCTGCTGAGCTAAAATTCAGCGTGAACACTGTATTTGTGAGTCAGCTTTTACCAGCATTTTGTGCAGTGAGTTGCATGGTCAAGATTGATTTCAAAGCTTCAGATATAAAACTAGAGAGCTCTCAGGCTTATTTGCTGAAGTTACACAAAAACCTGTAGTAGGATATGAAAAGGTGAAAAGGTGAAAAGGCAGTTTCATTCAGTAAAAAAGTATATGCTAACAATAATTATCTCAAACGTTTTTATACTTACAAGAAAATAAGAAAAAAATTCTTAAAGTTCCAACATTCCTTTTTAAGGATGCCAAAATTCATCGAAATCTGTTAAATCTTTCTGGCTGAAAAATGCAATTAAAAAACGTAACCAACATGCTTATTAATAGGTTTGGATCACCTTAACACATTTTTTCACATTTCATTGCACAAGCTCTTTAGAAACCACAAACTTTTTATCTGCACCCGATTGGGCCTACAAAATTTGTTTGTGAACACGCAGAGCAAATAATATTCATGTGTGACAGTCAACTTGCAAAAAAACTAAGATTTTCTAGTCGCCCAAGAGCAAAAGTTGGGCGCCATGGGCCACAGTGGGCTCTGCTACAGCACAGCCCTGATATTAAAGCTTTGGTAACTCCTCTAGGGTCTTACAAGCTGCCCGGCAAAATTAATACCACCTCAGGGCTTCTAAAAATAATAACATATACACCCTGCCAGTTTTGCAATACATGTAAATGAATGCATTTAAGGCTTGGTCTCTATCTCTAGCTCCATCCACTTGGAGAAACCAGTTGTTCAGATACTGTAAAAATTCAATCATCTTAATGCAATAAGTTGTTCTGACCCTGCTGGTGTACTTAGGCAAATGTTAAAGTTTCAGTTGATGGTATTGGTACAGAATTCTAAATGCTTATCGCTTATTTTCAAATGTCACGGCTACGAATGTAAACTGCAGATTCTTTCACTTTGGTTTCTGCACAGTCACATTTCTAAAGGACTCCAAATTTATGCACTACACCAAACAAAACCTGACTCAGGTTCAATAGACTTTTTTTTATGTTACTTCATTTTATTCCTTTGACCAACTAAGACTGATTAAGAGCAATAAAAACAGAAGTAGGATCCGTGAATCAGTCCCACTTACATATGTGCATTATAAGAAGCCTAATCGTGCAGATATTCTACATGGAAAAGTTATAAAAGTTGCCAAATGATATTTTAATGTACAAAGCAGTTCAGTATGTTCTGGAGGCGTTAATAATAATGTTTCAATTACAAAACAGACAATAATTTTGTGAAAAACAAGGTGGCAACTAGTCACACTTTGATCAAAATATCATCACCGGTCACTTCTGTTCCAAGTTTACAGTTTCATTATTAGGGACTTTAAGATCCGAGACGTGACGGCTGTAAGATGCGACAGGAAGTAAATTTTCAAAGGGGAGACATGTTGCGCATGCTCAAGCCGTTGTCCTGGTGTCACCACGTCGTGTTGAGAACGTGGGTTTTGCAAGTTTGACGTTCTGTACAAAACGTGAGTATATTTGTTCCTGTGCTTAAATTAACTGATGATATATTCCTCTAAACATGTAAAATCAGCCTTCTAGGATCATTGGACGTAATTTCTGGCGACATTTTAGATTGCAGAGATGGAAGGATTTTGATTATTTTTAAATTTCTTTCAGGTGTACGAAGCTTATAAAATGGCAGCGCCTTTGACTTCGACTTCGAGCAAGGCTTTCAAGTAAGTCACGAGCTAAAACTGCAAATAGTGAATGCAGGAGTCTTCTGCATACTCTTCTTGTCTCTTGTACCGTTGCAATTCTCGTTTTATTGCGTTCATCTGCCGCTAAAAGCCAATTTTAAGCCTGTATTATTTAATTTAATTTTATTAAACTGCGTGTGTTTTTATGCTTTCCTTTAGTTCAGTAATGTTTTGGGACACATGATCATGAAGCCATTCTATGCAGAGAAGTCGTCAATGTAAATCCCTACACAACTAAGAAAGGGTCAACACAAGGAAGCAGTATGCGGGAAAAAATAGCAGACACCTTGAACAAATGCACTGTGCCGAAATTCAGCGTTGATAAGCAATCAGTCCGAGACCACGTGGGAATCCTTGTTTACAAGCATAAGGAGAAACTTCTAGCGAAGGAAAAAGCAACTGGGATAACTCCCGATGAGCCAACAGAACTACGGAAAAACTATTGGATATGATAATCGCGTTGGAGGAAAGTGGCGCGGAATTACAGGAAACAGCTAGCAAAAAATGTCAATACGATCGGGCTAAAGCGGAAGATGTTAGACTAAAAGCGATGGAGAAGCTGTCAGAGACGAAGAAAAGAGGTTCATCAGCGGATGAAAGCGATGACAAACCGAAGCGTCAACGAAGAAGTGGAAGTGATGCTATCGAACAAAGCACAAACAAAGCATTTCTTGGACTTTCTTAAATGATGCCATGGCTATTTCTGCGAAAGAATTGCTGAAGAATCACACTTATAAAGAGCGGTTTGCAGCCGCATTGTCTTGCATCGCAACAGAGATCTTAACTTTACTTTTCGCGCGCAAACGACTGCGTTCTAGTTCCAGTCCTTTATCAGCCACCACGTTCTAGAAGTCGTCGCGTCCCAGATCTTAAAGTCCCTATTAAAAAACAGACAACCCAAAAAGTCAAGTCAACAAGCCAAAATTAGGACCATTTTATAGTTTGCCAAGGACATATTATACAAACTAAAGCAAGTGAGTGAGTTTTTACATCGTTTTGAATATTTGTGACAGATACTTTCCTGGCATATCTGATTTCAGCTGTTTGTTGCATTTGTGTGGGAAAACAGAGAGTGTGAGATGAAACATTAATTGTTTCTGTGGCAGCACGTGAGTTGATGTAGGCGCTTTGCCTGATCATCCACTTGGTTGTTTGCATTTGAGTTCATTTGAGTTTGGATTGGATTTTTTTACAGTTACAGTGCAACCCACAATATTCGACTTTGGAACTTTCATCAGAAGAATCTTCTCAGGTGAGTCTATTAAAAGATCAGTAATGAAACTGTTATAGCTCCTGATTGGGACTGATATTGTGCAGTTAAAGAAATGAAATAAGTTGCTTTGTAGAATTCTTAATTTACTCTTTCACTTGGTTTTTCTTTCCTTGATTTTTTTTTGGTTTTGTCTGACCAGACTGTTTCCTTGTCAGGTCAGGTCTAGTCTCTGACCTGATATATGACCTGCTTATAAATATATCAAAATACTTGCAGCCTTGGTCATGAAACAAACAACATTTCAGGTAAATTCGGAAATTTCATTGATGTGAATTGTCTATTTCTTTTTTTGTGTTTTTGAGCTATCACTTTTAAGGCCAGAGATTTTTAAGTTTGATACATACTTCTAACTAACCTCATTTTCTATGTCCATACTATACAAAATTTGTATAATGTATAAGGTAAGTTACGGACCACGGTTTTTTGTCTTGATATAATTTTATGGCCCAAGATGGAAGCACATGGGTCAACAATCAAAGGGAAAAACGAGAAACCATAACATACCGCAAACCTGACCAGTCACAGTGCATGTACATGTAATAAATACATGTATGGCAGCTCAGCACTTTAGGCATGAGAGCAGAACTCCAGAAAATGGCAAATGAGTTCACAGATATTTGAAGATAAAATAGCAGCAGCGCTGACTAAAACTGATTGCAAGAATAATGCAAAAATATTACTCTATGAATGTCAATACTTTCTGAAGAATATCTGCAAAAAAAATAGGCAAAATGTATTTCGAAGAAAGTCTACGTGGAGGTAAGGATGTTAAGAACTTAGAAACATTTTAAATGTACAACTGCAAAACAACGAATTTGGATTATTACGAAGAATCATCAGATCGTGTACCATATCATGCGAAAACTGAGTTCAATATTTGTGAAATATTTCACTGTGGCTATATGGCCGGTAACTGGTCAAGGTTTTCAAAAGACTAAATTACCGGCAGTCCAGTATTTTCAATAAATTTGACTTATCTAAGAAACCCAACCAATCCAAACTGTTTTAATAGATCTCAAGTCTAGCATTTGGGTTATGCTGGGCTCAGAAAACAAAACCATGTTTTGTGACACTTAGGACTTTTTTTTCTGGTCAACTGCCGGTCAAGATTGTTAAAACACCAAATGACTGGCAGTCTACTCTGCTAGCAGAGTCGCTTTGATCTTTCCTAGATACATGTAAGTTGGGAAAGAGGAAAGAGGAAAGAGGAAAGCGGAAAGAGGAAGCTGGAAAAAGTTCCAAGTGTCACAATACATGGTTTCGTTTTCTGAGCCCCACGTAAACCAAATGCTAAAATTGAGATCTATAAAGCGTTTCAGGATTGCTTGACTTTTCTTAATCGACATATGATAGTTTAGATTAGATATCTGAAAAAAAAATACATCTGCTGAGAAACAGGCAAAATGTATTTTGAAGAAACTCTACATGGAGGTAAGGATGTTAAGAACTTAGAAATATTTTAAATGAACGACTGCAAAAAAATGAATTTGGATTATTATGAAGAATCATCAGATCATGTATCATATCATGCGAAAACTGAGTTCAATATTTGTGAAGTATTTCGCTTTGGCTATATGGCCGGTAACTGGTCAAGGTTTTCAAAAGACTAAATTACCGGCAGTCCAGTATTTTCAACAAATTTGACTTATCTAAGAATCCCAACCAATCCAAACTATAAAATGCTTTATAGATCTCAAGTCTAGCATTTGGTTTATGCTGGGCTCAGAAAACAAAACCACTTAGGACTTTTTTTCTGGTCAACTGCCGGTCAAGATTGTTAAAACACTAAATGACTGGCAGTCTACACTGCTAGCAGAGTCACTTCGATCTTTCCTAGAAACATGTAAGTTTGGAAAGGGGAAAGAGGAAAGAGGAAAGCGGAAAGAGGAAGCTGGAAAAAGTTCCAAGTGTCACAATACATGGTTTCGTTTTCTGAGCCAGCGTAAACCAAGTGCTAAACTTGAGATCTATAAAGCATTTTAGGATTGCTTGACTTTTCTTAATCGACATACGATAGTTTAGATTAGATAGATTTTTTCGATTTATCAAATTTATTAATATTGAGAATATAGCACTGCTGGTCATTGGACCTGAAAAAGGTATGAAGTGTCCCAAAACATGGTTTCGTTTTCTGAGCCCAGCATAAATCAAACGCTAGACTTGAGATCTATAAAGCATTTGCGGATCGCTGGACTTTTGTTAATCAACATATGATAGTTTAGGTTGGTTGGGATTCTTAGATAAGTCAAATTTATTGAAAATACCGGACTGCCAGTCATTTTATAGTGTTTTAAAAACCTTGACCGGTTACCGGCCATATGGCCACAGCGTAAATATTTTGCAACTAATGTAGGAGGACTGTTAAAGGAGCCTGGTATCTGTGCTGGCGAAAACCAAATGGAAACAATTAAAAAATTACAGCCAGTATAAGCTTAAGTTTTTAGTAGCCAATTTTTTCATTCTACTTTTTACATACGTTTTTACATTAATATACGCCATGACACTCTTCAGTACACGTTTGGTCCGACATGTATTATTTAACAGTTAATGAATGAGGCTGAGTGTCTTATGAAGAATTATGGAGATCGAGGAGGGTGTTATCCGTCGAGGCCGTAGGCCGAGGCAGATAACATCCTCCTCGAACTGCATAATTCTTCATAAGACACTCAGCCTCATTCATTAACTGTTAATTATTATTCATTCAAAATAATTCCTAGTTTAAAAACGTAGCTAAAACATGCTTATCTCCATCGATCTATGGATGTTCAGTTCATCTTCGATAGTGTACGTTTAGGTTTGTCCAGCTCCACAAATATTCTCCAAATAGCAGAGGTCGCCCTCTGAGTTGTGAGTGAAGTGTCGGCCATTTTTGTTTTCACAACCAAAAACAACTCAATATCGTCCCCAGGTCTTCTCGGTTAACGGTTCATTAACCTGTAGAAGGCTGCATTTTTGACATCATTTCCTCCTTAAACACAAAATTCTTCCAAATTTGGTCATCAGTAACTGGTTATGGTGAATTAAAAGTGTGCTTTTAGACAATCAGAACCGGGGAAATATTTTGAATGAATAATAATATGTATTAATTATTTGTATTAGTATATGAGCAACAGCTTGCGAGCAGGCAATCGAGGGAATAAAACAGCAGCGTGGTCGCCAGCGCAAGCCGGTGAAATCGGCGAGACAATAGAGAAATTTACATGTAGAATCACGCTTTCATACGGTAAACAGCAAACGTCAGATTCAAGTTCACAATTTCTCCGATTAAAAAATGAGCAGATAAAAATGTTGCAAAATAATTCTTATGGCTGGAACAAATTACCTCTCCCGTTTGACAAGATTCTAAATCTCTCTATTCTTCTCGCCGGCTTCGCCGGCTCGCGCAACTCCACTGATACCTCAAACAGGCGAGCCTGCTCGCAGAGCGAGTTCTTTTGATCCAACAGCAACATCAATATAATTTTTGTTGTGAATGGCGGTCCACCACCTACCTAATGGCGGTTGTACTGTCATGCCTGGTCCTGTTTGAATAACTGTCAGGTCTTCAAAGATGAGCATCAAATCAAATTCATCGGGCTCCCTAACTTTTGCTCTTTCGTAATAGCTTCCAGAACCAAATCTACTCAACGACGCAAATCGATCATCGTTCTTCTTCACATAATCTATGATCCTGTTCACAATCGGTTCCCAGTAACGCAAGGCGTCGTTTTTCCTTTTTTGACTTAACTGAACATTTCTTTCAAAGTATTTTTTTAAAACCCGGTTCAAATCATTCAATTTCTGTTCAAGTAAGCGATTCATCGTCAGCGCGGTCCTTTACGCTCTCTCCTCAACCGTCTAATCCTCAAAGATACCACGTGATCAAAACCGTCGTTAATCCTCAAAGAACTGAATAAGGGACGGACCATTAGAAAAGTTATGGGGGAGGGATCGAGCTGCAAATTTTTTTTCGCGCCAAACGTCAATTTCTTAGGGTTAGTTCCCAGAGTCCAGCCGCAGAACTGAATAACAGTCTTGACCATCGCATAGGGGATGGTTTTGGGGGTTTGATGACATTGGCAGTTCGCTTGGTCATCGTAGCCTGCATAACAGGCGCGCTATGCGCCAAGCGAGGCAAAGGCGGCATTTTGCGCGAAGCGCGAGACGATGGGCGAAGAAAAAAATTAAGCGCCTGCGCCCTGCAGGATAGGAGCTCCGGCCAGTCCATTGTTCTGGCTCTTCCGCCCACCTACGCCTACAAATATTAGGGAGTTTAAGATACCACGACGGCGACGGCGGCAAAAACATCGCTTAAAAAGTGACTCCTCCATCTGTGAAACTTTAGCGCGATTATCCCAACTCGGTCACAAAGTTTCATGGCAAACTCTCCCAGAGTTGAATTCTTAAGAAAAATATCGAGGTATACAAAGAGTAAGAGAGATTCGTCGTCGTATGTTCACGTTGTCGATAAGACGTGAAATTAGGCAATTGATCACGTCGTAGTCGTGCAGCGACGGCAAAGAAATGTACAAAAAAGCGTGATGCACGTGCAGAGTTGTTGTTTTGCTAATCTTAACCAGGAGCCCATCAAATTTTGATAGGCTCCTGTCTTAACCAATTGCTTTTTGACTGACGTACTCGATGCCGTCGCAGTAGGGGCATCTTAAACTCCCTAATGACTGACAGCAGGGATTTCAAAAGGACCAATTCCTCACTGAATCAGGGGCTAAAAGAAAAATGAAAATAAAACTAAAAGTTCGTTACAAGAAGAATTTGACGATGTGATTATAAAAACAATGGATGGTTATTGGTATAGGAAACTAGGTCGTATTATATATCAGTGGGCTTCGTCACGTCTATTTATTCCTAGAGGAGATAATTTGTTCCCTTTGTGTATTAAATGAGCTTCTCGAGCCTTTCTCACTCCCGGGTTCTCACTGCATCACGTTTGCTGCGTACAAGTTCAAGTGGGATTTGAATGACGTCGTTGATTGAATGTCCAGCTTGATGAACTGATGTTTAAGCCTGAATAGAAAACGTTTTCCGTGTTTGTATAGCCTGATATAAACTCGAGAGGGGTTGGGAGAATTCGAGACAGTTATGCAAACCCGAGACAAAGTCGAGGGTTTGCATAACTGTTGAGAATTCTCCCAACCCCTCGAGTGTTTATGTCAGGCTATGCAAACACAGGAAAAATGTTTTCTATTGCTTTTATAAAATAAATTTCCCGAGTAAAAACGCAAAACTCTTTGTATGGCACTTGTCCACGAAGTCTTGCACGCGTAATCAGTTCTTGTTTTGCAAAAAGATGCTTTCCAAAATACGGAGTTTTCTCGCTTAAAATGTCAGCTCAAGCGAAAAAAAAATTGACACACTTTCTTTGTAACGATTTTCCAAGTTTCGGCCAACGAAGGAATTGGTAAATAAAGTAAACTTGTCGAGTTTTGATCTTGAAAACTTTTTTAAATTCGTGCTTGCGTGATTAGCGCGCGAAAAGCAAACATCTTGACGCCACAACCATGTCTACATACTCTCATGCAAACACTCCTCTCAGCCAATCAGAGCGCGCGTACTATCTTAGTTATTTTATAAAAGGAGATAGGAGTGCGATCGCTGAGTTGTTGGTGGTTCAATAATGGTCGGCGGTGTTCTCCAACGCAATGAAATTAATTGCACTGATCCAGGTCTACAACTGGGAGAGCCGGCACCACTCACTGCTTTGTTGCTCGCCAGAGCGAGCGAAACGGTAGAGGGCGTGAGAATCACCCCTCGCGAGAAAGGCGATACACGGCGGGGAGAGCCGGAAAATTTCTCTCTCCTCGCCGCGTCTCGCCAATTTCTCTCTCCCGCCGTGTCTCGCCTTTCTCGCGAGGTGTGATTTTACGCGCGCTCGCGTTTTGTCGCTCTCTACTAAATGAAAAATGGGGACCAGAAAAGTACTTACTGAGTGGGAGACTTTTCGATTCGCCTTTGCCGGCCTGGAATCTATTTACCCAGGAAAATGACAGTTGAGCCTGATCTCAGCCAAGTCCGGGACAAGTTTTCGGTAAGATACGAGTGCTAGCAAAGTCTAGAAATAGAAGTAAATTAAGTTTATTCAGGTTTCACTACAGTGCATGGTTTTTATATTTTTTTTGCGTTTTCAAGCATGTACACGTCGCTTGTCATCCGAAAGCCTCAATAAGCTTTATACCGCCATCAACGGCCTTTGGTCTTTGAACATTGATTGAATATTCGATTGAATAATAAGACTTCGTGCATAACACATTACTTGTGACCCACATTACTGTTTAAATGTATCTTTGCAGGCGTATACAAGCCTCTCTCCTCGCTCCTTACCAGTCGCAAGCTAAATGTATCTAAGCAACTGCGAATAAAATCGTTGAATTAAATATGAGTCTTGTTTACTGAGTTGTTCAATCCAGTTTTCATGTTCCGAAGTGACTTTTTTTGTTGACACTAAAGGGCATTCACCTACATATCATGAAAGCGATTTCGCCCGCACTTCCTAGCCAACGGCTACTGCTAGTTTTAAAAAAAGTTATTAGTAAATCAGGCTTCTCCCAAACCCAGTTGGAAGCCACCCAAGAACATCTTTCCTCTTAAGCAATAAATTTAAACTTTTCTTTTGTTTTTCCGTTATTTCTGAAACATTTGGAAGTAAACGAAGAGCTTTCTCTGATAGCATCGTCAAAAAAAAAAACATGACTGCGTGACGGCCATTTTGTTCCAGACAAACATGCCAGAATCAGTCATCAATTAACCAGTTGGAGCGCGACGTTCATGTAGTGAACGTGGGATGAGTGGACGCTCGCTAAACAAAGGCCTGGGAACTCAAGAGATGACTGGGACATGCTAGTCAACAGGTTGTGAACAGGCAAGAAGGCGATATAAGTGAAAAAATAGGCGGGGAGGGAGGGCCAAACAAATGAACCAGAAAGCAAAACGTGTGTAGATCAACCCCACCCCCAACCCCACAAGGGGCTTCGAAGGCGCATGAATCCAATCCTCCCGCCCTATTTATTTATCGACAAAAAGCACTTCGGAGAGAGGAACGCGCGCACACGCGCGCCTGAAATAGAGCTCTCGCTTGTTATCAGTTGCTGAAAGAAAGTTTAGAGCCCAATTAAAAAGCACATTTCAGTTTCAGTTTATAGCTGAAAGACTGAAATAACCTGTCTCAAAGTCAATGAAAAAAAGTGTCAACTTTGCTGTATCATTAGATTTATTAGAACAGCGGTCAATAATTGTTATAAGGATTTATGAGAACAAACTGAAAATCAGAATCGTATGATGGTTCATAGTGTTACAATCGGTGTTGTAATCATAGCTTTTTACCTACTGGATTGTCTATGGTAGCTAAGTTTGTTAAAATTCAGTGTCGGATCCAGACCTTGAGATAAGGAGGGGCACCCGGTGATCCAGACTCTTAGATAAGGGGGTGGGGGTGGTCTCGGTCTCCAAAAAACATTTTTTCGACCCTTTGGGCCGGTCTTCTGAATAAGGGGGAAGGGCCCTCCGGGCCCCTCCCCTGGATCCTGGATCCGCCACTAAAAGTAAACAAAAGTCACCCGATATTGGGGTAGATCACTATGCTTGTTTGTTGACGAATGAATTTCGAATAATTGCGTTCGACGTAAGGCGAACGCATTCTAAATTCAACGGGCGAAAACCTTAGGTATAAACATTTAGCAGAAAGAAACTCGATAATTGATGTTTGGGTCAAGTATCAGATACGGAAGTAGGGAGCTTAAGCAGTGACAACGGCAACGCCGGCAAAGGGAGACCCTTCAGGGTGAACCCAAATTATCAAATGCGCATGTCAATCAATCAATCAATCAATCACGTCGAGGAGCTAGAAAACTCGTTCAAAATACGAACATGCATTACAGCCGATGATATGATATTATTCAATTTTAAAAACAACTTAATAAATATATGAAAAACTTAGTAATAAAAACATAAAATATCATGAAAACTCTAAAACCTACTAAAAAGGCATATACTAAAAACGTGACTGGAAAACTATAATTCACGTTCTAAAAACAGTGAAAAAGCTAAATCGTGCACTATAAGACACGTTCTAAAAAGCTGCAATCATGCAATTTACTTCTGAAGTCATTAGCATCACTTGAAAGACGCACTTGAGAAGGCAAACTGTTCCATAACTTGGTTAATGAATAAGTGAAAGAATTCTTCTTCAATTTAAGATTAAAGTTAGGTGTAATTTCAAATTCAAGTCCTCGCCTCTTAGCCCATACGGTTTATGCCTATATTTAAAAAGGTTTCCAATATAAGTAGGTCCCGCACCATTTAAGCATTTAAAAAGAAGTATTAACGGCTGGTGTAAGCGCCTACAATATAAGGATGTCATGTTAGCCGTAGTGAGCAGCTCGTCGTATGTCATTGACTTGTTGTGCCCAATCAATGTTCTCAAAATATAACAGTTGCAATCTTCGAGATGGTTGCGTTGACCTGTACCTATGCCTACAAATAAAGGGCTGCAGTATTCTAAACGAGGTAATATAAATGCTTTATAAAGTTTTATCATTGCATCAAGAGGAAGAAAACGTTAACCAGGGGTAGAGCGTGGTCATTTTGACAAGTACGCACACGGGTCCATATGGTTTTAAAAATCGTTTTTGCTTTCCTTTAATCCATAACTACCACTTTACAGGCTTATTTACAATGAAACTTGATTTCAAACAAAAGCTTTTAAAACGTTTTTCTTTGAGCTGGTACAGGAATATTTAACAGCACAAGGCGATGCGCATTTTTTGCAAAAATTTGTCAATGAAAACAAATGCTACGCCTGTTCGCTAGGAGTAAATTTCTTGCAAAATTCTTGTTGATACCGCGCCAAA